TATCTAGAAGAGAAGAGATAAGCTAGTTGGGTAAGATATGAAGCAATTTAATCTAACCTCTGCACATGGGCGAAGAACGCATTCGGAGAATCGAGCAGTTTGATGATCAGCTTGTCAACGCTGCTTTTCAGTGTTGTATGTAATCCAGTCAAGGCTCGTTCTGTCTCGAGGGCGGCTTGCAGCCACTTCCTGTGCTCCCGCCAGTCCTCATCGGCATTCATGAATGCTGTGACAGGTTTGAAATCGTATCTAGAGCGACTTTGAATGTACGTTCACGGATACAGCGACGCAAAGTGATTTACACGTCTTCCCATAGTGTTAATCCGGCCCTGTCAGAGTAGATCGCCCCCTTCTTCTCCATGAGGTCTTGTACTGCACGTAGCGAGTTGAGAAGAATCATGGGCTTCCTGAATATCTGGGCATAGACAACTTCCCCTGGTGGAGAAAGGAATGCCATCAGCGCACAGTATCCCTCGCGGCACGATGCGAACGCATACCATACGTATGTGCCCACTCTCTGAATGTTTCGTGTTGATCCTTGACAGGCAGCTGATGGAGATTACCAAGAAATGGCATAGGCGTCGGACCAGGCGGGTATGCCTTGTACTTTCTGTGACTCCATCGAGTGCACAGATAGCATGTGAGGAGGGATAGTAACACGACCGCCGCTTCAGGTGTTCCGCTCGATGCGAGGATCCCAGGCATCATGGGTGTGTAAGTTGTGAGCTCATGTCATGCGTAACTCGGTTTATATATGCACTGCGCTGGTGTCCGGAGCGTTACAGAGCCATCTGATAATTCTTTTATGTGAGGGTGTCCTCATCTGGTTCCGATGGGCCGAGCACATGGTGTGAGAAAGTGTTTCCTGCCATGAGTGAGCTTATGTCTCCAGGATAGAAGCATGTACCTTTGCCGAGGGGACACCTCAAAGCAGTAACAGCTTCCGCCTTGTATTCGAGGGAGGAATCATATTGGGAAAGCGATACGAGAGCTGCATCTTCATTATCAAAGTTTCCCGACCTCGACAGGAGAGGGTATTACATGATCTGCACATGTGAGGCTTTCACTTCCTTCTGGCCTCGTATGAATGGAGACTATGCGGTTAATGGCAGCCACTGGATGAAGACAATGGTGGACGCGCCAGCTGAGGCCAGAGAGAGAACTTCAGGAAGATCTATTTTCATAAATAGCTTGCTGCTCGGCTGTAGATAGCCCTGGATTTGCTGATTTCATGATGATCAAGGCTGTCCCCTGAAATGTAAAGCTCAACTATGGGTGACGGCGACTTACCTGTGTCGATCACTTCGACGGTTCGGCCGTCGACGCAAGAAAAGTAGTCATCAAGAGGCGCGGGTTCAGCTGCTGAATGTAAAGAAAGTAAGTGTGCCGAATACTATTAACAAATTGGGAAAGATCGTAGGAAACGTGGAAAACGCCGGAGACGCCCGTCAATTGCTTCCGCAGGATGTTTGTGTGTATTACATAACGTAGCGACATACTCGAACTTCATAGACACTTACAGGTTGATTTTGAGTACTTGAGGGAATCACCTGATAGGACTCTGTGACATGTCAAGAAATGCATGCCGAGCTGGTTCAAACGGTGGCTACACCAGGCACAATCTCTAGCACCAGTCCCCAAGCTTCTAAGTGTCCGTAGCTTTTTCAAGAAGCGCCGTTTGACGGGGATTGAATTGAGATACTGTACTTTGAAATGCACTACCTATCATAGTCTGATCAACTCAGATTGAAGAAATTGATGTCTGCACAACGCGACCGGGACAGTACTCTTGACGGCATGAGTATGCTATTGCAGTTCGTAAGCACATTCGGTCTAGGGTAGTGTAGCAGACTCTCCAATACGGTCACGCCCAGGAGGAAGATCGAAATGGTCTCAATACGGCATATTCCCGGGGCGAAGGCGTGACTACATTGCTCAATGTCTTGGCTCAGGCTTTCTTTATTTCAGGAATCTGAGCTTCAAGAGTGTATATGTCAGAAGTCACGGGTATTATTGTCTTACAGTGGAGCTGGGTGAATGCAATTCAACGAATCGGACTGTGACTATCAGTGGCCTCATGATTCTAGGGGGAAACCCCTGACCTAGTGTGTAGTTCCTTATCAATCGAGCAGGCGAAGACTTCGACTGTGTATCATTTGACCCTCTTTCAGGGGCACCAGATGCGATGACCAGTCGATGCACTTGTTATACAATGTGGGTACGACCGATCAATGCCGCTGAGATACGACTGTCCTCATGTTTCATTCAAATGTTGCGCGCGCTCCCCGTTTCTTGCGATTGTCACGTATAGTTGCCCTGATAGCCCAGAACGAGCGACAGACATAGTACGCTACCGATACGCAGTTAATTCAGCTTCATACAAAGCGATATGCTGACAGATACACGGCCGACTGCACCCGACAAGCTTCGCTGCGGAGGAGTAATATGATTAGCCTGTGACTTCTGCAGCTGTCGGCCTCCGCCACAATCCGTGGCGTCCCAAGGAATGGAAGTCTATGGATACCCACAAAGAAGGGGTCCACAGGTATTCAACGAACCCGCTTGCTATTCGCTCAGCACATCTTCTGTGTCTTGACTGGAAGCCTCTGGCGGAGCCACTAGAACAACATCAGGCCGACAGCCTGCCACAATGTCGCGTGAATGCAGTAGCCTTCTGGCGGCTTGTGCTGCACAGGTTGTGCACGCTACACGTGTGCTTGAGCTCTGTCCTACCAACAACTCGGGCGCACATCATTGATCACTCAAATTCCACGTTTATCATGAAACAAAGTGGTTTCCGGCGATATAACACCCCATGGTACATATTGCCGCACCTGGTGCGTACAAACGTCACGTTAGTTGGAATCTCTGTATCGTTAGGTCAGTACTGAATGCCGCATACCGCAGCCATGGGACGGGTTGTTTCAAGGAACATGGCACAGGAACATGGCACAAAGATATGAAACATGTACTTACTCAGCGGTAATGTCTCGCGAAGCACTTGCGTGATACGATTCGCACCATGCCGCGGAAAGGAGCAAGTCGATGCGACTTGGAGACGATAGCCAAGATTCAAAGCCTATATGGTCGCTTATGTGTATAGCCGTCGTCTTCAACGATGGTATTGGAGCTGTGAATCTACCCTCATTCAACACAAAGCGGTATATTGGAGCGCTGTGCACGCGCTCATACTCACTCACAAGCGGGGAAAGACCATCGTAATAAACTCCCTCCTGGAGCATCTGCATGACATGAGATTTATATGTATATAGCCTGTAAGAATCGAGCACGTCGCCAGTATCCCATAGTAAGCTAAGAGCGCTACATACCTTTAGCAATGCACTAACTCATCCTAGCATACGGCCATGTGTGTGTGACTGAGATACACGTAGACTTATCGGTATGTCCTGGCTCAATTTTTGTTCCTACAAAGATTTCAGCTGGATATCATGCTCATATCATATTGCGCGAACAACGCGTATCCTGGATGGAGTGAAGAGTAGTATATCCTTCAGACAGCCTACAGGAGTGTGACCATCGGTATGTAGTACTTCAGTTCATGACTCGAGACCGAAGGCAGTATGGACAGTACCTTTCGTTGAATTGTTGCGCAATAGCCCACTGCATATAGAGTAAGTCGCCTTGAGGAATCAAGATAGACCATATGAAAAGGGTGTCCGTGTCGACGCTCGGGAGTCTAGGCGCGACGTGGTCACGTGCTCACATCCACTCCTGCCCGCCGACTCCTGCTATTTACCATATCGTTGACCTGTCTCCTCCAACCTCGACAAGGCTCAGCGTTGACCTTGACCAGCCCGCGCTCAGCTCATCTTGCCAGAGTATGCCAGAGTATAACCTCGTCTGACCCGCAGACGCTACGAAAATGATTTTCACTTCGCTTACCCCTTCACATGCCGGGTCTGCTGTCACATCGTCTAGGACCTGCACATCGTCGCACCGAACAATACTCCATGATATTAGTGGCTAAGAAAGAACTACACCACATCACAAACATCTTGCCATCTGTTAGTCATCATGTAATCGAGGCCGTGAATACCGCCCATAGCCGCCCACATACCACAGCGCTTCGTAGCCTCATGTCAGCATCTAGGGCATCTCGCAGCCAGCTACTCAAACCTGGCCTATTAGCATGTCTGCCAACTCTATGGCTGCGATGAAGATCTACCGCTATGGTCGCTCGTGCCCACGAAGCATGGCGAGGACCTCGTCGGGAAGAGGGCTATATGCCCTACGGAGCGTTCTACCGCCTGTTTAATGCCACGCAAGCCGCGGACAACCCCATAAACAAGCAGTACGGTGTGCTGTGAACCACTTCTTAAGCCACGTCCTCGAGGCAAGTGATACTATCATTCCCGATGAGGGCATGTCTGAGGCAGACGTTGCAGCCGCGAATGATAGAGACATATCACATATATTTAAGCATACATTCAGCCAGCATACTTTTCTTTGAAGATCTCAATGCGGATGCGGCTCAGGCGGCTACAGAAAACGTGGAACAGGCAGTGGCCGACGAGCAGGTACAAATTCACCTCGATCCCAACACACAACCGATACCATCAGCAGAAAGCGATATCGCCGACAATTTCAAGAGAAAGCTTGTGCGGCACGATGCCGGGAGTGTGCTCCGCAGACGCTCACCGCGGCAGCGTGTGCGCATTGGCGCACTACCCAAATGGAAGGGCACAGACACCATCTGCGCACTCGCGTTCTCACCAGACAGCTCGCTGCTTGCCTCCGGTTCCCACGATCGCTCGATCATAATGTGGAATGTGTTTGCCGGCGAGAAGACTGTCGCGTTCGATAGTCATGACGGCTTCATCGACACGCTTGCGTTCTCTCCGGATAGCAAGAAACTCGCATCCGGGTCAGTCGACTTTATAGTGCGGATATGGCACGTGGAAAGTGGCCGACAGCAATCACTGTGCAAGGCCCATAACGCTCTCGTCATGGTTGTCACGTTCTCTCCCGACGGCACACAGCTCGCTTCCGGGAGTGCCGACTGCGACACGCGTGTGTGGGATGCTGAGACTGGCGTGGAAATATGTGTTCTTAAGGGTCATCAGGGCGTGCTCTACTCTGTCCAGTTCTGGCCTGACGGTCGCCGCCTGTCCGCGGCGTCAGACGATGGCATCAAGCGTGGTCTGGCACGTCCAGCCTGGCGGCAGGCTTGCTGCCTTCCGCGAGCACTCTGTTTCTGTCTGGTCCGCGGCATTCTCGTCAGACGGCAAGCGCGGACGATGAAGGTATGCGACTCAAACAGCGCCACTGAAACTCTGGCGAACGACGGAGCAGAGGGCATGGAGAACGCGGTAGTGTTCTCGGATGACGATGAGTTTGTGGCGGCGGGTGCAGAGGACCACTCTGTGTTTGTGTGTGTGGAATACGCGGACGGGAGAGCGGATCTCGGTGCTGGAAGGACACACAGACAATCTTGTGCATCTGCGGTTCTCACCAGACAACCTCTTGATCCAGGGAGGCCCGATGGTATATTCCAGATACGCATCGTGCTGCACCGTGCGTCTCTGGATTATACCATCGGGCCTCCCTGGATCGGGTCGAGTATGTTGATGTACTGTGTGCATCGTCTAATTCTTTCCAAATGTCTATCTTTCGAACGAGACCATCTAAGGCGGCTTTTTAAGAGTATTGTCTTGTTTATAAGGACCTATCGTACTCTATTGTGGAGTGCTGCCAGGCGCGTTACAAGCTGTATGTGACAATTGTGTCACACTGTCACGCGCCTCGACCTCACTCGCATTTTTCATGCACAAATTTTGAGGTTCACACGGGACGCGTGACATATGGGTGGCGATCGGTTGATCGCGCCGACGTACCTAAAGCGTCTCATCCGAACGTTCAACACCTCGACTTGATCTTATGACATCAGAACGGGAAAGTAAACACCTTGACAATCGAGACGACGGCGACTACAGGACCGATGGCCCGCTCTCACGTTCATCATTGACCCATCATCATGGCATGGGCTGACCAAGCGCCAGCGAACTCCCTAGACTTGACACTCAAATGAGACGATAGCGTCCATAATTTCTTGTCTCTCGATGACATCCACCAATCTTACGGAAGGCGAATTGGAGAACTGCTCTACCGTCCGTCTTGTCAACAATGCCTTGTCCATAGTCGAGAAAAATGTTTTCACAGCACCTCTTCGCGGTGGTGTTTGTCCCAAAGAACTTCTTTAACACAAGCTTGTCGACGCTCCTTCACAATATGGCCTTTTTGCGATGCAATATGAGAGGGAAAGTGAGAATGATGGCATTGTCACATGGTTTTCACGGTGCAGTTACTGATGAAATGGTACCACAGGGATGTCTGCAATTTGTAGAGAAGAGGCTGGCAGTCTGGTCTCACACATGAACACATGCGATATACAAGAAGCTTTGACGAGCGCATTCCCTCGCTAGATTGGGCATCATACAATAATACTATATGTCACGCTCGCATGTTGCTGAGGCGATTCCGTTATATCAGTAAGCTGTCCTTCCCCTACGCCCGCCTCAGATCCGCTTGCATGATGGTAGTGACGATCGCTTGTGATCGCGGGCGTATGATACACTTGAACTCCTCGTAACTTCTACAATTCATCGCGTTTATCGGTGGGAAGCCCAGAGTCGTACAGTATTACGTACCTGATTGGGTCGGGTCGAGAGGGCACGGTCGGCACAGGCAAAATTTCCTTCCCATCGGCTGCGACCGCTTTGCTGATGGATAACATGGCTGTGACCGTGACAATTGCAAGCCACACAGAGTTGTCAGCCATGTGTCTCCCTGGGCAGATCCTGCAGAGCAAACAGCTATGACTATGCACCAGCGGGATGCGGAATACGACGCACCTACGCCCGAATCCGAAGACAATGCCGCGTGGATCCTCGACAGGCTCCATGCCTTTCAGACCATTTTCGTCACTCTGGAACCGCTCTGGTATAAACTCGTCTGGACTAGGATAGATCGTTTCGTCTCGGGTCATAGCCCTGGTCTACCATCAGCAATGATAACGTGAAGCGATGGGCTTGCGGATCGCACCACTGGTTGAATATTAGCTTCGAACCTCCAGGAAGTCGGAACTGATTGTATTGACAGTCGTCCATCAGGCTGTGCGGTATTCCTGAAGCGTTCGCGATGAAAAAGAGTATCAGGAAGGATGGAGAAGATACTCACCGAGAGGCACAGGGCACGCCCAACTAAGATTCATAATCAGTATTGCATATAACCCATCGTGGGCGTTGCTCACCGAAACAATTCCTTCAGGATGCACTCCATGTATGGCAAGGAACTTCTGTCTGCGGGATCCGGAAGGCGATCTCGGCCGATGACCTCGTCAACTTCTTGTTGAGCTTTCGCATAAACTTCAGGGTATAGAACCATTGCCAGGAAGAAGGCCGTCAAGGCGGACGCAGACTACATGTTTGGACCATCGTCATTGGGTATCAATGACTGAGCTTTACGCCACCCACAGTTTCGCTTCCACCTGTTGTCCTATATCAGCCACTCTCTATGTCTCACGAGTACATCAACAAGAACTCGCCTAAATATAAGACATTTGCGACGCCTTTAATATCCCATTCGGCTTCTTTTTCGAGCTCTCCAGAAGCACTCTCCAGAAGACGAGATGTCATGGAGGGCTTTGCGGATCCAGACATCTGCCATCATTCACGTTGAACGTCCAGTACATCGATTTTCAAGGTAAAGGTCCGCGCTCACCATCGCCTGTTTAATTTCCTGCTGAAGACTGTCCTGGACCCGATGGCGAACCGCACTAACATGTAGAGCTTTTCGCTTGAAGCCGGCTCCCGGGAACCACTTCGGGATGTATTTCACTGCCAGTGTGCATAAAATGGACGTAAAAGCGCACATGATCTCGACAATTATGCTTACCCATTGGGAACACATCCATCAGTGTCACCGCGAGTGCCGACGTATCCGAACTTGCTTCAAGTACTTCTTCAACGAGTTTGAGGCGCTTGTCGTCCGTTGTCGTGATTTCGAAGCCATACGCCAGCTTCATCATCATCTCCGCCGACCATCTGTGAAGCTGTTAGACACTGTAGACACATCAAACACCAGAGGAACTGATTACATCTTGATATGCGTCCTGAACGCATCCGGGCTTTCAAGAAGGCTTTTAAGCAATCTAATAGTCCCTTCCCGCTGCATGGCTGACAGATCGAAGACTTCCTTCTTGTTTTGTAAGATGTCTTGGATCCATCGTCGATGCCTGCGCCATCTGTCGCCATAACGCATGATCACCATGTCGTTTGAAAAGTCCATGCTGATATATTGCAAGTCATCAGGGTCATATCCCAACAAATTATGAAAGCGTTGTTACAGTTCCGTGAACAACACCAACTGCGGCCTGTCTGAGGTGCTCCTGCTATGTGTCTCTGTCAACTCCCGCGCAACGCGCGCAGAGCTGACAACGACGAGAGGGGCGCCAAAGATTCGTAGATACGCTATACCGCCTGATCAGGACGCATTAGCATGCATAACAGAGGAGACTGATTGACAGATACCCCATTCCTGCGCCAGGTCATCGAAGACCTCCTGAGGCGATCTAGACCCAAACTGGTGAGCATTGCCAATGATAGGAAGCGCTCTTGGTCCGGGAGGCAGTAGAAAGTCAGGATATGAACGTCTCTTCCCGAATGTGTACAGGAGGAATAAGAGAGCGATGACAACGACGACGGCGTCGTATGACAAGTAGGAATCCATGGGGGAGACCCTTGCCTCTAGTGTATCGTATACACCGAAAGTGCCTTTTGTACTAGGCAGGCAGGCAGGCAGGCAGGCGTCAATACGCAGCTGTATGTCAGAGGTCTGACGAGATGGGCTATGGGTTTCGGTTGTTGAAGCCGGGCATCTGAAGGGATGGTGACCCTTCTTCTGCCCATCGCTCTTGGATGACCTCTTCGCGTTCTCAGGATGGTGGCGGCTAATCTGGTCCTCAATTCTCAGCCGGGACATAAGATCTCATATTACTGAAGCACGCGAAAGACTAAGCGTACCATTTGCGTCAGATGTACAATTTCTTTCCTCGACGCGACGCAGCAGATGGCAACAACCCAAGGCCGCTCGTCCAATACAGGCTTCAGGATTCGTATCGTGTCTTGTCATAGAACGACATCACCTGCTGCATCCTTATGGTCGAGGTCAGCGGCGTCACATAACCCTTTGGCAGCAATCTCACGAGAAATCAGGAAGCGGCAGCGCAGTTTTTCCAGATTGCTCTGATTGTAGCTTCGTATGTCATTCATCCAGCGCCTTGCAGTTTCCGCGCTTCTGACTCGCAATCTGGGCTACCGAGTAAAGTGGCAATAAAATGTTAGCTTCATCCGGCCGTAGTACTATACAGGCGGCGCTTCTGAAGGCACAGGCGAATTGTTTGCCTGCAGTGAAAGCAAGTAGACCGAATCAGCACACACCATAGGAAGAGCGACGCGGAGCGACTTTTGAACTTTGCTAGATCATTTTCTCATGGACGTATTTGGCAGATGCCTGGCGCACCGCTTGGAGCGAGCATGTGAGCGTGAGAATGAGCCTTTACAGGACGTTCAAACACCCGAAGTATATGGGGACACAAGCTGGGCATTTCATCTCATGCCCCCCTCCCATACCTCCTTCTCTCCGCCGTACCATGACTTCAAACTGGACCGCCGCCTGTGAGCTTGGCTCACTCGGGTCTCTTTCGTCACTTTCTGTCTCCTTCATCATTACACCTTGTTTTATTGTTTTGGGCTACTGTCAATCATTCTGGGCATCGTGCTGCGACGTACAGCAAGTACATGGGCGTTATGTCACAGGCGCAAGACAGGCATTGTGTATAGCTGTTGTGCCCTATCCTCCACCTTGATACTGCAGGCCTCGCAACTCGAGGAGTTACCCGCTACATCCCGCCCGCAGACCGTACGCGGGGATTCGTTAGCCGTTGTCTTCCTCAGGTATACAGGGGTTGCCCTGAGGGTGTTCGCTTTATTCCATGGGCTAGAAGCCCACAGTCCTGTGCTTTACAGGCAGTGGTACGTGATATGCTGTTAGAAGCAAAGTCAATACTCCCTTTACGGAAGTTACAGTTAGGCGACATAGAGCGTACGGCGCTCGGTACCTCGAGGTGACGTGTCCCCATCCCTGCGAAGAGATTGTTAACGGTAGCCATAATAATCCATGCCGATGTCCCAATATTCGTCCGTTCGTCGGGGTCTACCCCGTCGCTCTCTGCTTTTGGAAGCAATAGTAGACAGCGACGGACTCGGCACCCCATGATGTGATACCAGCAGCTTCCCCAATCTGGTCATCAATTTTACTGCAGCCAGACATGTACATAATGAGTTTCTTTTGAGCAGGATGGATATATCGTCAATTACTGATCCATGACGGCGAGAGGACGAGGCAATTACAGCAAATGTCAACCTCACGATCCTCATTTGGTAGCCTATCTCTGCTCTGTCAACCAATGTCATCTCTGCACCACCACCGGCCCCATCTTGCCCCAACCCAAAGTGTAATCTGCGAGGGGAGTTCTATTAGTACCGGCTTTGCTGTAATTAACAACACTACCTCCACATTTACTGCGGAATCACCGCCAGGGCTTTCATATGTACATAGCTATCCGCGTTGCGCGCGGCAATCTCTAACATTGTACTGTGCACGAGTTCCGATGAAGAATGCTGCGGGATGCAGTGAACAGTGCATATCGGAGATAGTCATCATCTGCAACATTACACTACAATGTATCACCATATTAGTCGTCCTATGCCCTCTATCACAAAGCTTTGCGAGAACATATTTATTCGCAGGGTCAGGCACCATACCCACAAAAGTAGTATACACTTCGAGCTCACGGTTCTTAGGACGCACGTCATCTTCTATACCTGCTCTGAATCCATTTGCATGACAATATCGACGATCGCTTGTGATCGTGGGCGTATGACACTGAAAATCCTCATAATGCCTGCAGTCGATGGCGTTTAGCACCAACGCAATTCCAGATTTGTGAGAAGTTACACACTTCACTGCAGAAGAGGGGAAGGCCAGCACAGGCATGATTTCTTTTCCATCGGCATCAACTGCTCTGCTGATGGACAAGGTGGCCGTAATCGTGACGATTGCAAGCCAGAGGGAGTTATCAACGAGGTGTCTCCCCGGACAGATCCTACAGCAGAATACCAACTTTGAGCTAAGACCAGCGTGATGCGTGATGCGGAACGCAACGCACCTACGGCCGAAGCCAAAAACAATGCCGCGCGGATCCTCAGGAGGTTCCTCATTCTCAGGGCCGCTCTGGAAACGCTCAGGTAGAAAGTCTTCTGGACGGGGATATGTCGCCGTGTCCCGAGTCATTGCCCTAGTCAATAGCTCAATATCAGCAGCTGTCGATGCACAGGATGAGCTTGCCAGCTTGCACCAAAGGTCAAACATCAATGTCGAGCCTCCCGGAAGTCGGAACTGATTATATTGACAGTCGCCTATCAGCCTGTGCGGTACCCCTTTTGCATTACCCATGAATCAGAGAGGAATAGTAATTTGTGGTGAGGGTATTTACCTAGAGGCGCTGGACAACTCCAACTTGGTATCACAGTCAGTTTATATACACGTACCCCTTCTGAGAGCATGGCTTACCGATACAATTCCTTCAGGACGCATTCAAGATATGGCAACGATTCTCTGTCAGCGAATTCGGGGAGGCGATCTCGACCGATAACTTCATCAATCTCTTGTTGAGCCTTCGCGTAAACTTCGGGGAACATGACCATAGCTTGGATGAAGGCCGTCAAGGTGGATTCAGACTACATACCCGCACGAGAGTCAGATCATATATACTGCGTCGCAGAAGTGCGCCACCAACGGTTTCAGTTCCAGCTATTATTCGGCATCCGTCACGCTCAACATCTTACGATGGTCAAAGCAAAACACACCTGTGTATAGCACAGTTGCAATGCCTTGAATATCCCATTCAGTTGCTTCATCGAGCTCTTCAGAGGCACTCTGCAGCAAACGAGACGTGACCGAGGGTGGCACGGACCCAGATCGCTGGTTCGAAGATGCTGATTGAGCACGTCTACACTCTGGGAGAAAATGGACAACTTCACGTACCATAGCCTGTTTGACTCTCCGATAAGGACTAGCTTGCATCCGTCGACGAATCTCCTTCATAGCGAGAGCTCTTCGCTTGAATCCGGCTCCTGGAACCCACTCCGGAATGTGTCTTACTGCCAAGATACAGCGAATAAGTATTGCTGCTGCACAGGATATCGAATATTTTGCTCACGCGGCGGGAAGAGATCCACGAGTGTCGATGCAGGTCCCGCCGAGCCTGTGGTCGCCTTGAGCGCCTCCTCGATCAGCTCGATGTACTCGTCTTTCAAAGTTGTGACGTCGAAGCCGTATGCTAGCTTCATCATCATCGCCGCGGACCACCTGTGAAGATGTTTAGCGCTGAAGGCCCATGAAGCACGCGAAGGAATAATGGACAATTTAATGTGCGTCAGAAATGTGTCCGGACTTCCAACGAAACCCTTGAGTAATCTGGCGGTCTGAATTTGCTGCATGGTCGAGACGTCAATTATATCCTTTGTGTTTTGTATGACGTCTAGCAACCACCGTCGATGTCTGCGCCATTTGTCGCCGTATGGCATGAGCACCACGTCATTCGTCATGTCCATACTAGTACATGGCGCATCATTAGCGACTCGTTGTAAGCGAAAGGATGATTGAAACTTACAGTTCCCTGAAGAGCACAAAACGCGGCCTGTCTGAAGTGTTTCCACTGTTCATCTCTGTCAGTTCCCGCGCAATATGCGCAGAGCTGACGACGATCATGGATGTCTTGAAGATCCGTAGATACACTATGTCGCCTGATCAAGTCACCTCAGTTTGCACATATCGAGGATGAAGCTTGAGTTATTAAATACCCCATTTCTGCGCCAGGTGGGCGAAGGCCTCCTGGGCCGGTGCGGAGAACAATTGATGGGCATTGCCAATGATAGGAAGTGCTCTTGGTCCAGGAGGTAGCGGGAGATTAGGATACGAAAGAGTCTTCCCGAATGAGTACAGGAATAAGATGAAAGTGACAAGAATGGCGGCGGCGTCGCATATCAGGTAGGAATCCATGGCGCAGACCCGTGCCTTTACTCAATCCACAGGTTGAAGACGTTGGTCAATGAGGACAGAAGGTGCCCTTTATAAACTCGCAGGCGTCGACACATGCCGCTATGTCAAGAGGTCTGACATCGCGGGCAGGGTCCACTGTCCGGAGCCCCGAAACCTTTCAGTGGGGTGTGTCCGTATTACGTTTGGCAGCCACCTCACGGGAAGTCAAGAAGCAGCACGTTCTTCCAGATCCTCCGAGCCTCCGAGGGCAGCCATAAGTACCATTCGTCCAGGATGTTTCACTCACTACACCTTTTGCTCGCAGGTACCGGCCGGAGGAACAGCAATTCATTAGCTTCTGAGTCACCTACACTCGTCACAGAACAGGTCTAGGCGAGTCACCAAAACACTCACCTGTCTTTATGACCCATGATGATAACGGTAGAATGTGCACCTTGTTTCAGCTTGCCATAGACCATACCATTTGGTTTGCCCCTATTTCGCAAACCTGACATCGGCCTACTGGTAGATAAGTAACCAGATATTGATGGTAGTCGTAGGGTTCGCCCCCGAGCAATGAACCCTAACCACGATCTGAGGTTATAGGACACAGGCGCCCGCATGACCGCGACGACCTGGATAGCGACAAATCACTCGGAGCAACAACGGTACTGTCTGTACTGCCATTGTTTCTTGCATCTTCCACACATCATGCAGAATTCTGAAGGTCTATACAGTACGGCGGGAGACAGACCAGCATTCTCTATGCTGAGTTACAGTATGTCATACGGCAGGCCTTGCCGATCATCCACGATGAGGCGTCGACTCGGCACTAAGTCCTGGCAGGCACGTTGGTGAGTTTCAAACGGCCTCATCGCGTCTATAAGGAGCATTGAATCATCCGAGAGGATACCAGTCCAAAACCAAATGCATATGCGGCCCATCGGCGGGTCGGCGGCGTCTGTCCGTTAAATTAGCGTCGCACGTCGCACTTTCTACTGCGTCACCGATCCAACTGTAGCCCATCGTTAGTCCTCAGGATACTCAATGAAGCTTCTACTCACAGGTGCAACCGGCGTTGGTACGTCAAATAGCTCTGTACTGCTCGAAAACTTAAGACCCTCATCAATCGCAGCTGGCCTTGCCGTATACCGCGCAGCCCTCCAGGATGCTGCCGTCACACATATAACCATTCTATCGCGCCGTCCCGTCCCTTCCTGGGCCGTCCTTCCGCCTGACGCGCCTGCCAAGACGACGGTCATATTGCACAAGGACTTTCTCTCCTATCCTTCGGATCTCGCGCACCAGCTCGCTGGGAATGACGCATGTGTATGGGCCCTTGGACGGAGCGTAATTGGCATGAACGAACGGGATTACACAGAGATGACACATGACTATCCCATGGCGGCGCTGCGTGCGCTAGTCGACGCCGGGGTTGGCGAGGGACGGCCGGACGGTAGGCCGTTCCGGTTCGTTTACATCAGTGGGGAGCATGCAGATCCGTCAGGAACATCTACGCGGATGTGGGCCCGGGTGAAGGTGCGTTCCGAGTGACTCCTCGCCTGTCACAATGTTCCTTATGTGCGCACATTCTGGGGTGAGTGTTCAGGGAAAAGCAGAGGTGGACATCGCTGAGCTCTCCGACTCTGTGCCTAATGTAAAGGCGCACATCCTTCGTCCAGGCTACTTCTTCCCGCCGTCGGAGTACCCGGAGGACCGCAAGCATCAGCGCTCCATGATAGCAGGCATGTTCGACTACGTCGGCACACCACTTATGAACTGTTTCATTCCGTCCTTGATTGCCCCCACAGGGGAATTGGGGTCGTTTGCCCTGGGGCTGGCACAGGGACGCTGGCCCGGGCAGGTAATTTTTCGCAATGCGGAGATGAGGCAGTTAATGAAGGCGACATCGGAGTAGCTTCTGTCTCATTTTGTGCCATCACACGTTCGCGTTCCTGTCTGCTTGCGGTTTGGTTGTCATCACGCGAATTACGATACGCTGCCATCCATATCGTGAATGGACCTTTTCGATTTTATGTCTGACTTCATGCCCATGGTCGTGCTTTTTGTCGCAGTTGGACTAGCTATCATGATCTGATTACCTTATCCTCGCGTTGCAACTCGGTGGAAGGAGCACGGCTCAGACTTGAAGCAGGCGAAGCGAGCTAAAAACGACAACATGTTGTTACATTTGTATCTATGGAAGGAGCGCCTAGAACATTCGAGTACTCGAAATATCATTGTCACAGAGCAATGAACCCATGCAGGCAGCACTTATCAGGTGAGGCGACTACGGAGCATCATGATATCTAGACTCGATCCTGGTCACGCTTGTACATCCCCATGTCGGAGACGTCGTCAACGATTGCGTGCGTGAAGTGATAGTCCAATGGAGTGGGCTGCGCGTGAATAGGTATGCGAGCGTTGGCGAATAGTTCTTTTTTCGAGCATGACGATGGAATGACTGACCTTCTTGTCCCCATCCGCATCCGGAGCGTCCGTAATGGTTGTGGTCATGACGTGTACGACTGGGGCGACCTGGGATTCGCGTCGGCATCCTGTTATCCGGGAACCAGAAACCATCACGCACCGCAGAGCTATCGCGCTTGCTGAACGATCTATCCCCTTCCCCAGCACGCATCGACGACAGAGGAATGCTCGACTCCTCGTCGGTAACACCACGGCCTCGGTGCGCTTTCCGGAAGTTCAGTCTGCGTCGAGTGCTGTGAGTAATGGGACATGTATGTGCGCATCAAGGTGAGCTTACGTCGCGAGAAGGGCGTTAGCATACACTGCCAACCATGCGATCAGCGTTTGACCACGAGAAGTCGGCGAGCGGACATACGTTTACTCAAAAGAAGGTGGAGTGCCAGGTAAATCATGTTATCCGGCATGATGATAAACTGCGATGTTGTGGTACGATTAGACGTGGAATACTGCTAGAGATGCACACTGAGAGGCTCACACAAACAATGACAGCAACCCCGACGACGCTAGCGAGATGGGGAAGTGAGTATAGCTCAATTGTGCTGGACCCAGAGAAGTTACCTAGGCAATAGACCACAATTCACTGTCCAGTACGTCAACTTGTCCAGGAGCTACAGTGGGCTCTCGATGAGCAACTGGTCACCGTCCATGCAAAATGGGTGCGGCGTACACTGTCGGTGCTGAGGTATTGTTCAGCATCGATTACGGGAGTATGGACGGTCGACGTACCGACTGGGACATCATCCAAGCACCGCAACATCGTCACTGCCGCGCGCAAGGGGAGAATGGTCAAATGCTGACGCACCTGTTGAAACCCGTCTTGTGGTCCCTCAGATAATAAACGAGCGACGCAGTGATGATGCAATCGGCAATACTTCCGCTGCCCATTCCCGTTCCGACGTAAGGCTGCAATAGAGCATGCGGACGTTGATATAATTGCACCAATGGAATATAACATTTAGAATATAGCACACTCACGGCCATGGCATCTGGAAGCTTGTCAAGGACTTGGATCTGAAACCTGCGACCGAGTCAGTATACATAGCTATCTCCAAAGTAAGCTCGCCTTCACTGACATCCGGGCAGTAACCACTGTATCACAAGAATTATCAGGATTATGAAGAGAGTTGCTAGGATGTACTCGCGGCTTACCACAGCCGAATGCTGCACGCAACGATGATTAGACTCAGCTTATACAACGTAATATGGACTTACCAAGTCGGACACCGGAGAGCAGAATCTTTCACGTAGAATCGAGAATCAAGTTAGCACGAGCCAGTGGGTGGAAATACACATATCTTACAATGACGGCTGGCAGCCAGTAGTTGTGATTGCTTACTAGGATGTTCTAGTTAAGACTGGACGAACTTATGCAATTCATTTGACCTACGGATGTAAACGCGCCGGGCATAGAAACTAGAGACATGCTACTGTATCAGCACTGATGCGACTTGCCGCTATTATGCACGCACCAATGGGATATCAAAGTGATCGTGGCCTAAGAGATAGTTATGAGACCTCAACAGACGCAACACAGGACGAGAGCACTCGCCGTGACGACGACAGTAATCTACGGAAGCGACGGGGTGTCAGCACAGATGCACGAACCCGTCTCGAGAGCACTCACGTCAAAACTCCTAGAACAGAGGTCAATCCTAGAGTACAATGAGATGTCACCGAGTTACATACCATACAGATTTCGTCAAAGCTTCCGGTGAGTTGTAGTTGATCACCAGATAGTAGTAGATCATGTGTATGCTGAGAATAATGTGGCAAATATCCAAACACCTAGCAGATAACGTGGTTTACTGATATCGCCGTATACGTGGCCTAGACAAATACTCACAGAAGCGACCATACCTACGAAGACTGTGTTAAAAGAGCTAGTTCGCATCTGACTTAGGTCACTTACGACAAGGCGAATTTGCAAGGGATCTCTGGGATAATGGCGCCACCAAAGATATGTTTGCATCGAGGTTACACCAAACCCCCTACCATAGAAAGTAAGGCACAATATAAGTTCAGCCGATTACTGCCCTAGTGAATGTTTCATTGCTTACATCGTAGTCAACATCGTGGCCAAGAGCAACGCACCCACGGTGACATCGAGACCATTACCCATCGTGAACCGAAGGTCGCTTTGAGCTGGAGTTCGACGGCCGAGCCAGTATCCTCATGCAAGGCCGTCTGCAGATATACCCATGCCCGCCGGAAGCGTAATCAGCGCGGCTTTACCATGGTATCAGCCTGATCACAATACCTAGGAAGAAGAATATCGTATGCTATAGGTCGCTTAGCTTCCGTCGTACTACTGAGTCGTTTTCTCACGCAGAAGCATACATACCTTCGTGGCAGTGGTTGAATAGCTCAGGGTACCTTGCGACTTCTTGCAAACTTTTGAATCGTGAACGGTGATGAAGGGGTCAGATGGCCAGGTAAGCAGCCTCTATATTCATTTCCATGCGGATACTGTTGTCAAGAAGCGAGTATTCCGCTCAGATGCCGTCGCATCCTCAAAAATGAGCGTAGAAGCCTCATTACCGACAATGATGGATGGCGCAGACCTAGCGCAGACGCTGAACTCTGCTGCCATTCACAAGGTGCCAGCTGGGTTAATGGATTTGGCCGACGGACAGCCATATGATACGCCATTCATTCGTCAGAAAATAGGCCCTTCCATGCTCTAGAACGCGCGCCTGCAATGACTTCAATATAACAGATCTTTTCCATGAGTTGCACACGTGTCGAGTGGGAACAAGTCTTGAGCGTCCATTCCAGGATGTTCGAATTCGGCAATGGGAATCTCAGATTGTATGATCTGGCCGGGTAATTGGCTTGGCATCTACTCACAGATCGCCGCGTGCAGTGTACACGCACGCTTTGAATGTCACGTGGCCGCGTTTCGACATTATCCGGCCTGGCCTTCAGGACAGAATTGGGGTCTGATGAACACTACTACATAGACGACGTGCAGCCGTGTGCAACATCTTTCAACGACTCGCGCAAATGGTTGTATCAGGTCAGGAAGGCGGGCCGGTAACCGGCCCGTACGCGGCATGTATGCCTCCGCTCGGCGGTATCTATGGATTATATGCTGTATCTATGTCGTCGCGGAAGCATCAGCCGCCCAATCGCAGTGTAGCCCAGACCTAAGTACACACCTAAACAATGGCGACTGATCTCCCAATTCGTGAAACTCTTCCGCTCGATCGGTATGGATGCCCTCCTTCGAACATTGTTCGTTCCTCTTTGCATTCAGGCGAGAAAACTCCAGCATGGCAACGACAATTAGTATGGATCTGTATGGCGTTGATCTAAGCCCGTCAGGAGTATACTATTAGCCACGGTACGTACGAGACACAGAGACAGGCAATGTCGGTCGCATGCCCTGGATGATATCTTGGACTATCCTGTGGGAGATAAATGAAGGACGACGCAATGCTGGACAAGGATCACTGAGTACAACGTCTAGACAAGACTTAGATGCCCTAGCACTTACCCGCCCAGGTTGCCAATACCGATGACCATCGCAATGACGACCCCCCGCTTGACGTCGCCGCTGAAGTTCCCGCCCGTCCACGCGAGCACGCATGCTACAGCAGGGAACAGGCCACAAGACGCGATGACGGTGCCAATGTAACCTGCTACTGATGCCTTCGTTGCGTAAAGCACGACGTAGCCTACGAGGGCCGTGAGCGTGCCGGCAAGGACAAATGGGCCGCGGGTGCGCCAGTGATCGGAATATATCCCTGCAATGATTGTGAAGAAGCACCCGGCGACGTACGGCGGCACCGAGAGTAACTGTGCGTGCGAGTCGGAGTACCCCAGTCCGGCGATGATGGTGGGGAGGAACAGAGCAAATGCATACGTTGGAATCACGATACTGCCGTGAATAGTGAGTTAGAGTAGGATCGAGTGAGGGAGGAGAGGAGCGTACATGCGGCAACCATGAGATAAGAATGCGGGTCGCGTAGTGCCTGAAGGAGAAACTTCCACTTAAAGCCTTTCGACGAATTTGCAGTGTCTTCCCGAAGGGTTTCTACAAGCCATTGTTTCTCTACAGATGTGAGGAACCCTGCAGTCTCCGGGTACTACAGAGGAAGTGACGTTAAGTGTGCCAACAGAGTGAACAATCAAACGACTTACATCATACATGAAGAAGTACGAGACGGCAGATACAATGATGGTCACTGTATTAAGCATGAGAATCGCTATAGGATAACCACGAGGTTTTCAACTTACCAAGTCCTTCCAGAATGAACTGATTGTCGGTCAATCGCCAGGCCTTGTCAGAGGAAAGTCGTCACTTACGATCCATGACCAGCCATGCAACCCTCCAACTCTACGTATGTATTGGTAAGTCGTAATGTCACCAGCATCACGGGAACGCCTCACCCATCCATCTTCTCGATGCCGAATGCGAGAATGCCGCCAAAGGCACCTAATGAACCGGTTTAAACATGAGTCAAGGAAGGCATACCGGACACTTTACCTGCAACAGTCGCCGCCGACAAGAAGAGTGACATACGCTGTGCCTGTGCTCCCCGTGGATACCACAGACACAGATAAAACGTGACTCCGGGAAACAGACCAGACTGTGAACACGGTGGTGAGCGTGGGGGAACGCAGCAGAAAGAGATATAATCGTGCCCACCTCGGCCAAGCCCAGGAAGATTCGAGCTCTGTCGCGGAGGATAAACTCAAAGGAGTCGTTTAGAGGGTGGAATGACGTACGCCAAGAGACCCGAGAAATCCTTGACAAATGCCATGCATACCATGACGATGCCCCAGCAGAACATGATTAGAGGTACTGAACAAAGCGACAACGGTTCAGGAAGCAACGTTTGCCGGCAATGGGTAGACTCACTCCATCTAGATGGCTTGAGGAACTTCATTGCCATGTTCCTGCGTACGTCTCCGTTAAATGCAGCCGAAAGGTGACTAAATGTATTGCGCACGATGGTATTTCGAAAAAGCAATAAGGAATCTAGAACGGAGTAGGGATCCATCAGCAGCTACAAATACACAACAGGACTTCAACGCACGAAGAATATCGCAGAGCATAGATTATATTGGAGCCCTGTCAGCTTCAGGTCCGTGGTCAGACCAGCGACCTTGGCATTGCCTATTGTGTATCACATTCAACATATTGTCCAGATACTCTTGAGACGCTGTGAGATGTACCAATGTTTGTCCGGTCGCTTGGAATCCCATTAAGCAGGGAGGCGGGGGACTCGAAATTTGGGAATGCACTCACAGGAATGACAGAAGGTACAGAAGCGACACGAACGGGAGCAGGTGCCAGTCAAGCTTGCGAAGGACTCGCCGACGATCGACAGTCGCTGTCTCCGCAGACTCAACGGAAACCTGCGGGGACGCGAGGGCGCGCTTTTCATTGTCCTCGACGAAAGACATGGCGGTCGTGGTGCTGCTCGCCGGCGTAGCGTAAGGTATAGCAGGGCCGGGCGCGACCGTGCGGGCGTCATTACCTTATATCAAGGCGCATCCTTCTAGCCAATATACAATGGCATCACGGCAGCCCGGCACCCTCTAGACCAGGGCGGCGTCGGTGCCAGTGTGCAGAAAGATGGTCCTCGGTCGTCGATCTTCCCAACCGACGGAGCGCTGATGCTTGATGAGCCTCCAGTTCGACCATATGCCCCTTCCCGCTTAGCGGATGTTTGTCCTAAGTAAACATGGATCCTTGACCAGGGTATGCGAAGTGCCGAAGGTTGCTTCCGGCTGCCTCGGGTATACTTTATAGAACCCACGAGTACGGGCGCGATTCTCCCTCCCTTACGGCTCGCCTTCTGCTCAGCGGGCCTTCACGAAGTGCAGTCCGGGCTAGATGCACAACGCTGGGTGCTTCTGATTTCAAATGGTGGCCGAGCTTCAACAGGCAACTCGTATAGTAGGGCTAACCATCGCAATGAGTATCAGATGTGCCGATGACTCGTGACTGGAGATCATGTGGTTTGAGAGACGTTTCGAGGGACCGTTGTAACCGTCGTCGGTGTGAATGAAGGTCTTAACCTATGCGGGTACATGGCCGTCGTTTGATATTAACGTGGAATGCATTGTTCAAGAAGCACTCAAGTTAATCTCGGGCTTTCAGGGTGCCTGAAGTTTTGCAGAAGAATGTACCGAAGACGAGTACAATGCTAGGTCCAAATACGGTAACAGCGTGCAGCAAAACAAGAACGGCGGTGATCGAACCAGGATAGCGGCTAAACAGTCAACGCGATGTTGTGATGTGCCCTCACTTCATCGGTCGACGTCTGGGTTTCATGACAACGGCGCATGAGGACGGTCTCAGGAGAGAAGATGGAGAGAAAATGACACGTAGACGGGAGTTTTGTGTTGTCTACGAAAAGGTAGGTATGAGACTCTGTCTCTGCATGCGCAATACACGAAAACGAGAACACACTATGGAGTAAGCCGTAGGGGAAGCGTACTTGGACAGTGTCCAAGTCACTGTAGCACTACTTTCGCTGAAGTTGACTGAGGATTGAAGGGCTTACCTTAAGCACAGAACCTCGTACAACGTACGCATTCATTGAAGCAAAGCTGAAGATTGGCAATAACAGACAGGGTCAAATAACGGAGGAGCGGAAATGTATATTGAGACCGAATGAATGAGATCAACCTCAACGAGTTGAGAGAAACTCAGAGCGCTTACTGTACAGCCCCAAACGGTGAATTCCGAGATCACGTGGATTTGTGAACCGAACCATTATGGCAGACGAAACGACCGGCGCGCGTGTTCTATTTGGCTCACACGCCCATTCCGGAGGAACAAACGTGACAGATGTGACAATGTCTGCGACTCGACAAGGGATTCGTGAAAAGATGCGCTTACGCTTGTTCAGCTTTGATGTGAAAGCAGATACGCCACAGCTGCCACATATATATAATCCCCAGCCGTGTTCGTGCTAGGAACGTGGTATAATTATGATACCTCCGACTGTTAAATAGAGATCCTGGCTGTCTCCTTACTGACAGTATTTACATGCCGAGAGTTGAAACATACACAGCCTGCTTCACAAATGACATCTTAAATATTTAAAATCATACATACGCGATGCATTGAAGGGGTGTAAACTATCTTTGCTTTCGAGCTGATGCAACATAAGATCTTCAGCCACCTTCAGCCACCAGGATAGGCAGGTGAACCAAACAGAGCACGCGCACATGCTGTCGACCAGCTGGAACGTACCATCGCCTCTTATCTCCGAGACTGCTCCATTGCTTGCGATTGCTTGTTCAAGAACAGTTGCATCTGCAAGGGCTGTTACGACGAGGGCTCATTGAACAGGTGGTCTTGCATTGAGGACTGTGTGTCATGATGCATGCTACGGGTCCACGGTGGACAGTTGTCATCGGCACTGAAATTGCTCTCTTATGCGTCTCCTTGCTGTAGAGGACATTGTGGCGGCGATGCTATATTAGTAGTTGGTCTCCGCATGTCCCATGTGATCCTGAACTTCTCCGAAGTGGGTGATTGATAGTTCTCATACATCCGCTGTAGGACGCCCGTCAACCCCATGATCAACTGAGCTCTTTGAGCTTGAAGCCTGCCGGTCAGTTAGTATTGACGCTCTGATCTTGATTCCTTAAGGATCGTGCTTATGCCCTACAGAATCTAGATTGTGGATGCCTTCCCGCACATCTCGTAGCCGTCCATTTTAATCCCGCACCCCACCCTAGACGCTCGTACAGCGGTGGCAGGATGCGGGATAAAAACAGATACATCCTGTTGGCAAGGTAGCTAATCTGACTGACCCTCGAGAATGGCTGTTGCCGTGCTACGAGAGATGCTGAAGAGTCTGGATTATCACGTTTGTATCTCTTCCAGGCCAGATCGTTGTAGATGTTGTTTTGGAGCTCCGCTCCTTTCTCATTGGATTGAACGTGATCGCTCTGCTTACCTCGCCAATTCCCGCACTGGGCGCTTCGTTGCCGAACGGCACGTGCTGACATAACGGGTCCATTTCAGAGTCCAGTTTACATCTGCAAAGCATCTAGATCCCATCCTTCAGATCCCGCGGAAAGGCATCCAATATCAGGTTGGATCTATTGGGAACCGACAAGCCATTCAACGCGGCCTTCGGAGTTGCAATTCGTTCGCCACGAGAATGGCGCAGGCATCATGATGCCTCGGAAGATCTGTCAAGCTAGGCTCGTACCCACACCGCCTTTCGCGGTGGTGGGGTGCGGGCACGAGGGCCATGTCAAACGAGCGTCCGCTGTCAATCGACACCTTGCTGCCACGATGTTTGCATCCTCACGTCACTGGAATTTACTCCCCGTTTTCCGTTCGGTGACTGCGCGTGGTGTATATGTCGGGTGAGTTATGTTGTGCCTTTACATTTGTGTCAGCGCGCGTCCTTGAGCCCGGGGGCACGAAAGGACCGTAGTTTGCTTAGAGATAGTGTTCAGGATGGTACCTGGTATAACCCCTTGATTAGAGGCGTTATGGCAGTGGCGCCGCGGTCGGTGAATCATTGGACCCGTCCAGTGTCAATCAACAGAGTCCAGATAGCACAACCTCCATCTATCATCCCGTCGTCGAATGAGCATCTACCGCCTGGATGCTCTTCCTATATAGCCACACAATCGTCGTCGTTTTGATTATATGCAGGCATTGGTCCCTAGCTTAGAGTGTTTGAACGGACATGACGCTCATGGTAGATGAATCCGGTTAGGCGGTGCAATCCTTCTGGATCTGACCTGGCTCGTGTGTGCGGCGCAGGAATGGAACAGTTGGTTTTGTGTCTCCGTGTCTCAGCTTATCTAGTCTGTGCTCGAGAACACGGCGTGTGTGAAATGCCTCATGGCAGTGCTCGCTTAAAGGAGTATAGCTGTGGCAACAGCTCAGACACGACGGGTGCGTTTTGCGTTCACCATGGAGCCCTCTGCGTCCTCGCCCAGCAATATGTACGTATCTTCGTTTTGCCTTGAGTACTCTAATGCCGATCCGCATCGTCTAGCTTCTCAGGGCCTGAGCCAAGTCGTTACTTAGCACTAATATCCTTCGGTGCGTCCTAGTACGTTGACTGCTCCTAGCATCCGCGTTGACAGCCCGATTGGCAGCTATCCTCTACTACGACTACCTCTTGACTTTCTCTATGGAAGTCGACTATTTCTGGAAACAACAGCGCTGGTTCTCTTGGACTTCTCTTCTCTTTATATTGAATCGGTACATGGCTGTGTTTGGCGTGATCCCAATTGCCATGGAGTTCTTCGCAGACATATCATCTGATGTATGTTCCATCACGCTTAGTGCTAACAGGGGAGCGATTGACGTAATTTTTTCTCAAAGCAGTAAGATATTATAACATCGCTCCTAAGGTGCCTGTCCTGGGCATTGGCTGACCTTGCACAAGATGTCATCTACAGACGGTCCATCAAGCGATCTCCGCCGCTACTCAAGCTGTAGTCTCAGGTGAACATAGCAGCGAGTTTAATCCATATCTTATTCTGACACCAAGGTAGCTTTGCTGGTGATTCGTACATATGCTCTTTACAACCGGAGCAAACGCATGCTGGCCGTCTTGCTCGTCGTATATGCTATCGGCGCGGTGGCAGGTATTGTAAGGTTATCGATACTTGTTGTGTTGTCATACACCACTGAGCGGTGCTCCAAGTGGTCAGTTACAGCCAGTAATACGTCAGCAACTAGCGTTAGCGATGTTTCAACAACATCTTGTAATAACCTGCTCACTGCTCTCCAGTACGTCTCTCTGTCATATCTCGCCGCTGGGATTGAACTTACTTGAATTGCAGATCGGATTGTGAGTATGCGCAACACGTGGGGGAGTCTACTGCTCTGAAGTATCTTTGTCTTGTACAGATCTCGTTGCCCCTTGGGGCGCAATGCTCTTATTCGACACAACGATTTTCGTGCTGACGCTGTACAAGTCAGTTGGATTGCTACGTCTTGCTCCACGATCCGTACCGATCCTACAGGTCATGTTGCGAGATGGTAAACAACGTCGCCTTGGTCACCTGCTGATATTTCGATGCTGAAATCAGTTTACTAGGAACGATTTACTTTGCCGTACTCATGGTGGTGAATATCGTCAATATATTAACATTTCTGGTAAGTCGTGATCACTTCCGAACTCAGGGTTGATGGTTGACTTCTCGTACGCTAGCTTGGTAACGTATGTCTAGCTTAGCAGTCATGGAGATAGCATCTCACATTGGCAACCAGGCCTACACACGCGGAATGGGGACGTCCCTCATAAATGCGTCAGTCATGTCGCAGTCTGTAACGACAACACTTTGACGCCCCGTATAGGTTATCAAGCGATCTGGTTTCACGACTGATGCTCAATTTACGCGATCCTAAACTCATGCGGCTGCCTCAACACACACAACCGCAACCAGCCTCAGGCACCATGCGATCTCGGTGGAACAAGCCCCAGGACGTTGAGCTCTCTGTGGTGGAGAACAGTAGTCACGCCACATCGAGCGATTTTGATGAGCTATCTACCGACATCTTACCGCCTACAGATACGACGATGCTACCATGACACTGGTTGTAGAATTGCAGCCCAAGTTTATTCGACTATACCACCGTTTGGATTTCGCCCTCAAAATTTGAGAGTCCGTACGTCCTTCACTGGACACCTAGGATTGAAGCTCGGCAGTGTGTTCATCTCATCTCGGAGCTAATTATCTGTACGATCAGGCCTAGATGTCACTTTTATTGAGTTCGACAGGAAAGCCCCCTCTATCATATTCAGGCTTGACGACTAAACAGTGAGCTTGGGGTATGTGAAGAAGAGAGACTGAACGACGAGCAATTCGATTTCTTGTTCCAAGATTTCGTTCTTGCGTGTGAAGATAAAACAATGACGGGGACACGGGTGTAACTCCAGCCAAGAACACCTGACATCTATCGCAACAAAACATGCCCATAAACCGTTCCACGCCAGGCTGCTTCGCCCAGGTTCCTACACCGTCTCATTGAAAGGTATGTGCATCAATCAGTACCTCTTGCGAACTAAAGCTTACGCTCCTGTGGGTCCCTCAATGTTTCTCATGTCAGATGTTCTACTTTTTCAAGCTATCTGAGAAAGAGTGCGCCATTGTCCCGACGGACGCCGCTTGGTGTACACGCTAGCTCCGACTTGTTCGGGATCCGCTCGAGACGCAGCGAGCTACTGTACTAGCATGGATCAGGGAGTCTGTTAACCTCTCTCCGCTCACCCTGGGGCGTGATTTTGCTGTTGGATCACGATGAGCTCGGGTCCCGGGGATGGGAACAACACTACCTGTCGTGCCCACGTTGCACCAGGCAGTCCATGGTGACCATGGTTGTATTATTCTGAACACGCGGTCTATGATAACGGAAGACCGTATAACGGCATCGGATGCCTGCAGGTATTGCTTCAGCTTGCTTTCTCACACGAAGGCAAAAATGAGTGATCCTCGACACGACTTCGTATATCCATCGCTGTGGAAATTCTCACAGTCCTTGTACGCTAGAAGGTATGCGCGTTCATCAGGTGAGAGAAGGTATCGTTTATAAACCCCGTCATCTACTCTAATCTCCAACACTCATCAGTCAGACATTTCCCCTTTACATATAGAACCCCACTGTCGCCTCCTAAGGCTTGTCCGTGTCAGAGCGAACACCTCACGGTGCGCATTCATTCAGACCAGATTTCAGTTAACATGCTCATGGATCAAACGCCACACAGGGAATGTCAAATAAGAACAAGCACCGTCTTTATGTCACTCTGCAAACTCGTGGGCCGAACGTACCAGGGTTTCACTGCGCTCTCCTGCTTGCGCCGAAGCGTCTAGACGAAGCTTCCGGTGCTGAAGGGGGTTTCCTTTTTCACGCCATTAACAACATCATACCGGAGAACCTTCCGAAACCCGGGGAGCGTCCGCCGTGGCGCTATGAGACCAAGGCTGTGAAACCAGATGGCAGTAAAACACTCTCTGCGCGTATTCTCGTCGCCAAATTCTTCGCCACCACCCCCTTCAGCGAAGTTCGAGAGACCATTGATCGAGCGGTCAGGCAGGTTCCAATTGTGCAGAATGACCCGCAGTGGACATGCGTAAGCTGGCTCATCCAATCTTTGGTGGCGTTGCGGGACCTCGGCGGTGAGTATGCAACTATCCCGCAGCTGGTGCCAGGTAGTGAGCTGGAGAGGAAGATCGAGACCTTCGGCAATGAGGGAGCTGAATGGCGGAACAAAGAGACCTTGCGGCGCGCCCCTGGCGCCCCGATCAGGTTTGAGGAGATTCCACTGTTGGATGTGCGTATTCCCCGGAAGTGAGAAAGTCCGTCTCGTTGGTAAGCTCGTCTCAACGCTATCTATTATCTGGAGCTCAACATAACCATTCCTAAGGCGGACATAGCTCACACATATGAAATCACGGAAGACGAGGTGTAGCTCAATACGTACTGTAGTACCAGACGTATCTGCTCGTGTATCATGTCCACCCCAAATATACCCGAGCCCAAAGCTCTGCCTCTGCCTGGAACTCCTGCTCATACGTGCCTGTCATCTCTCCGATGACAGGTGTCCAGTCCATGTGCTCGAGAGTGTAACGAGCTTTCGTGAACTCCCAATATTCTGGATACCACCCAGCCGTCTCCCAATCCACGATAGCCACCACCGTGCCGTCTTCTGTTACGAGGATATTTCGAGGCGCAAAATCGCCGTGGGTGAATTTCGTCAGGTATCGTCTACGGTGAACCACCATGATGTCGTCCATCTTCACCTGGAACATGCTGAAGTCCTCAAGAGAGAATTCTGCGCGAAGGAATCGGTGGAAGTCGTCATGGGAGCTGAATGGTCCAAACGTCTCTCCCATGCGGCCGTTGTCCAACAGCGGTCCTCCCGTGACCGATGCGACAATCCCCTCAGCTGGTGGAGGGAGGGCGCGCAACTGGCCCATATAGCCTTTGAGTTGCTCCACTGCACGACGTCTCGTATCAGCTGGCCATCGACGCCACGCAACGTCCATCTGCACACAGTTGCGCACGAAGTCCATCAGGATGTACCTGCGGCCGTTCGAGCAGAAAACACGGCGGACTTTGGGGACTGGGATCGTAGTGTGCCGGGCGATAAAGCGCAATGTAGCGGCCTCAGTCGCATCATTACAAATGCATGCTTTTATGAACGTTCTTGGACCGAGCCGGGTAGTCCTCCCCTCTCTGAACTCAGGATAGAGAATATATCCTAGACGTCGGCGCGTAGACAAGAAGGGTGGTCTCGATGAATCTGGTAACGGTGATGGCTGATCCTGTGCCTCCGTTGGCGTGTCAGACTTTGTGTTAGATGCAACGCCAGGGGCACGACATAAGGACAACCTGAGCCAGCTACAAAGCGGCGCGAGAGCAAGATCCTGCGCAGTAAGCATTTGCGATGGGAGCTACAGTACAGTTGAACGTGGCTTTATTTAGGTTCCGCTCACGATACAACTCTTCATGGAAACTCAAAATATATCTTACGTAATACGTTATAAATACCAATCCGAACAGGAACCTCTTGAATCGCTCGGGCGGAATCTAATCTCAAGAAGTTGAATCCCTTCACAGTCGTAGGAAGAATGTCGCCATTGTGCGATGAACGGCTTTTAGAAGCCCTTGAAGCTATCGGAGTTGGTCTCGTACCCGAAATCGCGCAAGACGTCTGGGGCAATTTGATAAGTGCATCCCTCTGCCGGCGAGCGCCCTCCTGGCGCTGGAGATTAACTAAGTAGAGTTACGGTTCAAGCAGTGAGAAGCACAGCCCCATTGGTCAATCACCGGCGTACCAGTGAACGGCAGGGTGCGCCTATCGACTTGCCCCAGAAATCCTATCCACTGTGGTGGCGTGCAGGATTGAGATATGGCTACGAGACCACCGGAGACCCACTCAACGTATCAAGCTTTACTCACAAGACCTGAACACACAGTATTAATAATGATAAGGCGAGTCACATACACGCTAGTCTTGATGTTGCTCTGCAAGAGAGACGCCGAGCGGTAGCTGTGCCCCCTTTTCCACCTCACCCTCCAGCGTGGGCACCAACGAGCCTGCATATTCTCTCCTCAGACGAGAGATGTCCTTTGTAAGCGAAAACTGGAACCGAGAAACCAGAACGAAGAGGAACGCCTGCATCTCGTACAGCCTAAACGCAGGAATCGTGTAGTGAAATAGCACCGTCAAAGAATGAGAATGTGAGCACTCACGCAAACTTCCAGCCAATACAGCCGCGGACGCCGGCGGAGAACGTCAATCTGATGACGGGGGATCAATGGTGTAGAGCTCGGCGACCTCTCGAGCCGACTCACGTATTTGCCCACAATCCGACGTTGGGCCCATTCTTCTCCGTCGGCCTGAGGAAGCGCTCAGGGTTGAACTCATGTGCATCCTCACCCCATACATCCTTATCCCTGTCAGAGTGGGAAGCATGGTGAACACCCGGATAACTTCTATCAATCAGCCACAGGGCTCACATGTTATATCCAGGAACAGACAGTATTAGGCGCAGAGTCTTGCGGACAGGCACCTCGCTGATGACCTTCCCCGACCGCGTCGTGATGGGCGTGGACAGCGGCAGCACCTCGTCTCTCACAGGCCGCCGATACATGTACGGCACAGCCGGGTGGACACGCACGACTTCCTTAATAAATGCCTGGAGGAAAGGCATGGCGTCCGCGTCCGCAGCGGTGAGCCCTCGTGCGCGGATGCTCTTCTCTACGACACGAATCTCAGCGCGCAGGCGGTCCTGGTACTTAGGATGTCGCGCGAGCTCGAGCAGCGCGAAGCTCATCGTGCTCGTCGTCGTCTCCGAGCCCGCGAACATGATCGAGCGCATCTGCGAGATGACCTCATAGCGGCTCATGTGGGTGCTCGGGTCCGGAGATGTGCTTGATTGTGCTGCAATATCCCGTGTCAGCGGTCTCCGCGCCGGGTACGAGTGGTGGCGCACCGAAGATGCTCATGACGTCGCGCTTCCCTGTCCCTGAGATGTCCTTGCCAACTTTGGTCTCGATGAGTTCTTCCGCAACTTTGTGTGCTGCTTGCCTGTTCCGACGCAGCTTCGCGAAGGCCTCTCCTGGCAATACCCGGCATAACCAGGTGGCAACTGGCTCTGTGAGGAATTCAGCTAGGTTGTCGAGTACTAGCCTCGCGTCCGACGGTCGACAAGCGACAACAGCCCTGCACCGCCAAGTGTGAGCATAGCTTTATGGCGTCGACAGGAGAGGTTCAGACATAAGGTTCATGTATGACTTTGCAAGCTCATTATCGGCGTTCTCCAAGCATCCGGTGTGGTAGTCGAATGATGCTACGTAAGCTGCCTGTCAGCTCACGCTGTGATCGCCTGAATCGAGGAAGACACACTCTCGCAAACAGCGTCAACGGTAGCGACATTCAGGTGGCTTGCGACATTTATGACGCAAGGAGCACCTGGTGAGCTTTCGACGAGCTTGCTCCATTTAGTGGATAACTGGGCATAACGCGTCATCAACAGACGACAGGGAGCAAGAAAGGGACGGCGTACTATCTCCGCGTACTGCACAAACGTGGGGAAGAGAGCTTTGATCACAGGTGCGCCGAAGGCAGGGTCCATTAGCTTCCTCTGTCGCTTGTGAGTTTCCGCTGTGTATCCATCCTAATGAGCTTATTGTATGGCGCATGGGAAACAAGCACGAACCATCTGCTCCATCAAGCCCATCATCTCCAAGCAGTTTGCTGAGTACTGTGCGCTCTGGTGTCTTCTCGAAGGTATATCCCGACTTGTGCAGAATGTAATGCAGTGCTTGCGGGTCGCTAACCCACAATGCGTCCATCTCCGTGAAGCACTCTTAGCGCCGCTCACGTCACAATGAACCCGAGAACGGAGACATACCCCTAGCGCGACCTTCACACGCGCGATCTTCCCATATGCTTCTCCCCATTGCGCGTCCATGGTACCGACTTCCTGCCGGCGTATTTGTTGCAAGTTACCTGAAAGAGATCAGGAAGAAATGCATGAACGAGGGCTTGGGGCTAGGCACCAATCCAGAATGACTCCGGCTTTGGGCCAGGAATGTCGGCGACAGATATCCTTGACCATAGTTTGTACAGCACACGCAGGACAATGGTTGAAACGAGTATTAGCAATGCAAGAGGCACCGTCATTGAGACCGACGTTGTTGTAAGGAGTGACTATAGACCGTCAAGGATGAGTTCCTTAGGCAGTTAACGAGCGTGGTCTGCAAGCGGGTGGCACTGAAGTAGAGTCGTACACCAGCGTTGTCAGATCTTATTGCTGTACCGGAAGAGGCTGGGCAAGCAAGCCCAAACCGTGCGCACTGACAACATCATCAAAAATTCAGCGCTGAGCACCGCAAGATCGGAATAGCGTGTTCAAAGATGCGCGGAAACATGAAGGACTTGAGGAAGGTGTTTCAAGTGCAAAAGTAGAAACAACGTCTCCCGAAAGATTGAATTTCCAGCGGCGCGATCAGACGATATCTAACTCTCGTTGGCCGATCTCAAGCGCCCAATGCCATGCCATATTTAGACCGCATGAAATTGCGCTCTCAATCCTATCACGGCGCCTGAGACGCTTTCGCAAGCAGAACTGCAGCGGGTTCGTGAGCTTGTGCTACTCTCGTTCATAATGATGATGATGCTATACTCCTCACACACTCCACTCTCAGCAGCTGCTCTGAACAGCGAGGACCACGGAACAATTATGCACTAGCAATGCAGGATGTTGCCGACCGCTACTTTAGCAAGGGCTATTACCGTCGTGAGGAAGTACCATAGCGTCCTCAGCGCGCATGCATATTCGTTGACGCTATTTCTGGTTGCGTAGACGCATGCCTGCATCGTCAGGCTTGCTGTATGTGGTATAGTCGCCCAGAAATATCATCTCCGGATCTCTCTGTAAATGACATGGAAGCTATTTTTGTCTGCATCCCACATCGAACAGACCAGGGCGCGCACCAGGCTCCTTCCCGCCGCTGTGGGAGTTATAGGGGACTTCATCCGAATAGCGTACTCAATGTTTTATCTTGTGTATCCGAGAATAGAAGTCTTACCACAGATCATGTGCCACCACATCACGTGCATATCATGTGACATCCCATTTGAACCTTAATAGACGACTATTATGGTAATTTAACTAACTAACGTATACGAACTTTATGATTTTCAAGTCCTCTATGTAAGAAGATAACTAAATAATATTGCTACCATTGAGCCACCGATATGCATGGACGAGGCCGTACGTAACTGCCACGGGCGTTTGCGAATGGGTATTGAGGCGGTAAATGAATCTCGGGCTCTTATCGTCCATGATCCAGACAAGTGCAATCGTGTACAGCGTGTTGAGCACGATGTAGGGGTTCCTGAAGAACGCGAACATCGTCAGCGCGTGCACAGTAGTCAACAGCACGCGCGTCTTGTACACCGAATCGAGCAGGACAGGGATCGTCGGCACGCCCGACACGCGGTCATCATCAAAATCGCGTACGTCGGCTAGCGTCTGCGGCAATTCCGGGTCGACATGAGCGGGAGGCGAAAACGCGTAGCAGCGGGCAGAAACACGAACCGAGATGCACGTCCAGTTGATCGTGGACCAGATGACGAGCTGGGTTGGGTCCCAGCTGCGCAATACGGGCCCGTTGGGGTATAGAGCGTCCAGGACTGAGCGGATAACAGCGTAGTACCCGCATCTGCAATTACACGTCGTCGGCACCTCCTGACACACGGCAGGGAAGACGGGCAACTCACCCGCGAATCACGCCCACAATGACAGGTTTCATCCCTGGGATGCGCTTGATGGCAAAGCCCGAGCGAGGCTCCTCGATCTCAATTTCGGCCTTCTCGGACAGCTGCACCGCGGGTTGACGCCATAAAAAGAGCGGCGTGTCCCATAACAACGCAGGAACGAGGAGGGTCGCCGTGATGAGCCATGTGGCAAGCGGGCTGAGAATGAGGGCGACAGCAAGCAGGATGGCGGCGGATGTGAGCGCGAAACGCGCGCGCCGAAACACAGTGACGATGGCTGCTTCCCCGGCCGCACGTGCTCTCAGGAGAATGGGCCTGTTGTCAAGGTAATGGTCGAATCCGAACCCGATGTAGTCGGCAGTGAATAGAATGAGGATCTATGTGAGACGTTGAGACGATCCACATGGCAAGAATATAGCAAGACTGCTGCACAATAGACGTACAGGTCTCCAATCTATCACGCCCCATGTGGAATGCGAAATAAAGAGCGTGATAGCGAGCGTGCTGAGAGAGGTAGAGAGGACCTCTCCTATGAGGACTTCGTACATCATCTGGGACGAGGGGAGCGGCACCATAGTAGTAGTCATAGTACCGGTCGGGTATGTTTAAGTCGTATTGCAGCCATGTCGTGGCTTTTGAGTGAACACGATGGCGCAAATTGCGGGCTGTACGCCGCTCCGCCGAATGCGGTGGGACAGTCTTCTGCTGCGCCACGCTATAGACATGCCTTCGACCGCTCGTCCGGCGCCGTGTGGTTTCAGGATCCGTGGAAGCGCCGTCGGGCGCGGCTTGAAAAGGTTCACCCGCCCCTGTCGTGAACCCGCAATGAAGGATTAGAGGCCGGAAGGACGCGCGCATCATACAGTGGCATTGTCGGCCGCAGATGCTACCGTGCGGTCTCATCATGTCTCATCGCTCAAACACAACGTCAAATTCGGATCCCGGACAGATCACGGGATGATGAAAGTAGCGGCGATGTGGGCCCCAATCAATCCTGTCCCTCCTTACATTTCATGTGCGCGCCCAGGCTCCTTCCCGCCGCTGTGGGAGTTATAGGGGCTCAATCCGACAAATTTGACGCAAGCTAAGTCCTGCAAACCCATCCGCCACACTTGCGCCACAATCCGGCTACATCCGAGGCAAGATCAAACTCCGAATCCCAACCTTAAACCCCCATAACTCCCTACAGCGGCTGGCACAAAACATCTACAAACAGCGGAGGAGCGGCGCATGTCACCTAGATTAGGAAGGCAGGATACTGGCCTATCATTACATAATCGTTACGGTCCCGTGTATCACAGTAGCGTTTATGTGTCCCAGTGTCGAGTCTCGTCGTCCTCGGTGCAACTTTGTGACCATTGCCTTCACCCCTCTAATAAAAACTCTATACCTGGCTTTGACCCAGATGCGCGCATCCCTGCCGAGGTTAGTTTTTGTCCTTCTGACTGGTGAAGGCCTCATGCAACATCCCTTCGTTGAATAACCCATCCTCGGCCTGGCTGGCACTTCAAGTTCAGCACTCTCCATGCACCTGCGACCCAGGTTCTCGACTTTTTCACTGATAATGTGGCTTCCAAGATGCAAAGTGTGGCGAACAGGGCTTTCTGCGCATCGTTGTTACATTCACTCATGGGGGTTGCGATGACCTCAATTGACGAAATTGAAATGTTTGAATGTCAATTATCATTTCCGGGAATCAATCCTGCCTCGTATGGGAGGTGCGGCGCCGGTCCTCCGCTGTTTGTAGATGTTTTGTGCCAGCCGCTGTAGGGAGTTGTAGGGGATGCCGATTGCGATTGCGATTGCGATAACTCAAATGTGGTTTGTGCTTCTTACCTGTTGTTATCAAAAGCTTATCGCTATATCGATCGGGTTCAATTTGCGGGTCTTTTGATATGGCTTGATACTCTGCAATTCTAACGTTAATCTTTCGAATCTGTGCACTCGCCTCTGAGAGATGATAGATCTGCATCGATAGCTCCTTTTTTTTTTTTAATTCCTCAGGTTTAGACTCCATACGGCGTAGGTACATGCAGAGTGAGATCGAGCCATCAGCGGCTCCTAATAGTGGCCTCCTCGCCCGTGTCCGGGCCGGCACGGTGAAGTGCAGATCACACGGTGTCGTCGGGCAGGCGGCGCTCCCTCCGAACTTTAGGCATCATGCCGGACGAGCGGCGCCTGCATCGATAGCTCAGTCGCTGCTGCAGCGAGTGCGCAGCCACAGTAAAGACGTCGTGTAGAACTCCCATTAAAACTCTTCGGCAGACAAGTCACGATTCTACAAATTACCGGACTGTAGAGTATCTGACGGGACGTTCGCGTTCCCGATGGAGGTGGCTAAAGGTTTTCGGATCTGACGTGATGGAATGAAGGTAAATGGATCGCCTTACCCGAGCGCTGGCGCTCTTCCATTTCTCAACCCTTGTGGCCGTCACAAAATCACTGCCGCCGCCCTGATGCAGCGGAGCGCTCATTTATGGTGTGTGATGCGCTCGTGTCGTTTGTTGCGCCGGGCTCAGCGGCAGCTTTCCTCGTGGCTAAATCCCAAGTGTTAATCGCACCGCATAACGCGAGGGCAGTCATGCTGTGCTCACTCAACCCTCGCTCCCAGTGGAAGTTCCTGCGAACGACTTTGATCACCCATCTTTCAGTCATCCCCGCGTGCATTCACAATGGGCATCGGCGCCTCCACGACGATACACTCTGACCCTCATGCCTATGCGACTCCTGTCTCCGGCGACGGGGGTGTCGACGCTGAGCGCAGAGCCTACGATTATGTCATTGTCGGTGGAGGCAAGTCTTCGTGGCCGGACACCGTCCGGGTACCTGTCTCATTCTTTTGGCAGGAACCGCTGGCTGTGTGCTTGCATCGAGACTGTCAGAGGACCCGAACGTGACAGTACTTCTGGTAGAGGCAGGTAAAAGGCAAGCTCAGAGACTGCGGCAAATGCGTCTGCGTTGACTGAGGTCTATCATGCCAACAGCCATGAAGGGTTCTTCCAAAGCCGAATACCTCTCCTATTTACCGCGTTGCTGGGAGGCGAATACGATTGGAATTTCGAAACCACGTATGCAGATTCGTTCCGCTCCAGAACCTTCCTTATCAGCGTTTCATAGACCGCAGGAGAAGCTTGGTGGTCGCCAAATCTCATGGCCTAGAGGCAAGGTGCTCGGCGGCTCAAGGTACATACTACAAATCGCCCTGTTTCCTGTCCCTAAACTCCATGTAGCACAGTGAATGCTGTGATATATCATCACTGTGCCCCAGAAGGTCAGTTGTGGGACTGCGTTTATCCCTATTTCCTCTCAACTCCGGCATAGACTTCGACGCATGGGCCAAAGAAGGCGCTACTGGCTGGGGATATGACACAATGAGACGGTACGTGGGACCTGTACTACGTTCAATGCATCCGTAGAATGTCTGCCTCTAGCTATTTCCGTAAAGCAGAGAAGTTCCTTCCGGAACCGGGCTCAAAGACTGATGCAACACTGCATGGGGATTCTGGACTGTCGAAAACAAGAGATGTACCGTTGGCGGTAGGTCTACTCGGCGTCCCCGATACACCGATGAACCTTGACCAAATGCACAGCCGCTCTGTGCCGCCTTTGTTGAAGCCTGCGAGGCTGCGGGCATCCCGCGTCTAGAGTAAGAGCATTCCTCAGGTACTTCTGGTATCACGTTGACACTTTTCCAGTGACTTCAATACGGACAAGGGCACGTTGGGGGCCGGGGCCTTCGGCGCTTTCATAGACGAGAAAGGTCAACGTATGTCAGGCGCCAGATTTGGCTACATAAGGAGAACTCACTAGTATGCAGGGAGCTCTGCCGCTACCGCCTACCTTAACCCTGAGGCACTGCGGAGACCGAATCTCACGGTTGCCGTGTCAGCCACCACGGAGCGCATCCTGTTCACGACGGGACAGGATGGCACGCCAAGAGCCACGGGTATACAACTCTCAGCTAGCAGGGACTCTCCAAAATTCCAAGTGCACACCCGGAAAGAAGTGCTCGTGACTGCTGGGGCGATAGGTTCGGCTCATCTACTCATGGCGTCGGGCGTCGGGCCCGCTGCTCATCTGGCGGAGAAGAATATAGCCGTAGTGAGAGACAGCCCTGCCGTGGGCAACAACCTGTACGATGTAAGTCTGTGTCTGTGGTACCGGAGATACGGATCACGTCTCATGGTCACAAAGCATTTCTGTCCTGGGGTGATGATTATGAAGGCGAAGCCAGGGCTCACTTGGGACTACCTGTACCGTCCTATACCCACCACCGTAGCACTCATACGATGGCTGGTTTTTGGTACTGGAGTACTGGCGACCATTGCCGGACAGGTAGGTGTATTTGTGCGCTCGGACGATGAACAGTACGTATTACAGCACATGCTCTGGTTGGGAGCGCATTTCTCATTTGGTATATGGCGGTTGTAGTATCCCTTGGGGATCCGAGAGCCGCCCAAAACTGCCATACGCCACCCATTCGGCGGGAGCCGGCGCCCCGGACGTTGAGATTTCGTTCGCCCCTATGTCGGTCATCAATAGGGGTAGGGAGGCTCCCCCACATGGAACGTATGGTGTTACAGTGGTATGTCGCCCTGTTGATATCACTCTCGCTTCTTTCGATTAAGCAGCAATAATGATAATAGGGCCCAATTCTGCTCAAGCCCGAAAGCTCCGGAACTGTCGAACTACAGTCTGGTGACATCTGGGACAAGCCCATCATTGATCCTAAGTACGTTGCGCTGCTACCTTGGTGCGCTCGTGTCTCAATGGAAACTTGCAGTTATTTGGCGACCCAGAGCGACATGAATCTCGCCTTGGAATCGATGCGACTATGCTTACGTTTGGCGCGCCAAGAGCCTGTGGCTTCTCAGCTAGAACTTTCGGGCGCCCCGAAAGACGTGAAATTCGACGCCTTCTGGCCAACGTGGGCCGACCCTGACAATGTGCGCTGTCGTGTATACGTTTTTTAGATACTTACGCAACCCGCGAAATGTTCCACAGGTCTCTGACGACGACTTGAAAGCGTGGATGGCGAGACATGGCACCACGGCATGGCATCCAGTAAGTGCTATGCGATCGTCCACAGCGACAACGCCGCCTGATAAGACACGTTCTGTGCAGACATCCACGGTGAAGATGGGACCCGATCCCGTCACCAGCGCTGTAGATCCTGAACTCCGAGTTTATGGAGTTCGAGGCTTGCGTGTGATTGATGCTTCTGTGTTCCCCAGCCAGCTATCGGGCCATACGTGTGCGGTGGTCATCGCGTTTGCAGAAAGGGCTTCGGATATTATCAAAGAGACTGCGTGAGGCCATCGCAACTACGGCCGTTTATGAGTTCCCGGACGAATTGTCGGGAGATAAGGCATACGTCCGGATTTGTCTGCATATAGAACTAGTTTTGTCTTCTGTCTTCAATTTGATTTCATATGTCCAACTTCAGGGGCGCAATGGGTCAATGGCCGCTGACAAGGCTACTCATCGGAGGACATACATGCACGCTGTTGTTCCTATACGAGAGTCTTAGAACTGAGCTCTGACGATCGATCTGGTGGCGGCTAGGTTGGTATATAAATGATGAATATGAACCGAAATTTTTTCAAGTCGTCCAAATCCTCATTTCGATCTCCTACTGATGATTCCTTCCCATTTCTCTACGATATCTCGGTCTTGGACTACTACTCTCTGCAAGCCTGCGCAATGTCTGTCATGCTGTCGAAATTGAGCATTGCTGCAGCAGGCTTCCGCTACTATTTGGACGTTTCCGCTTAGCTCCTGAAGAATATGGGCTGTAGCTCTCTCAGGTTCAGTACACATGTGTAGGTGAGAATTATCATGTTGTCTTCGCGAATTGCTACATTTCGTCGGTACCCTGTTAAATACCCACTGGATTGGGCACCGCACATGATGAGACGATCAATCGACAATCGACGAGGCGCCTATCAGTGTTGGGCCAGTCGTCTGCCAGTCGTCCCAGTCGTTCCCACGACTGAGGCGATTAATCGACGACTGTACGACAGTCGAAAAGTCGCCGCGACTGTTCCCACGGCTTGCGCAGACACGGCCCGATATTCACATGCGCAATTCTGGTACGCAGGCGCCCGAAGAGTCCCAAGGAGGCATTGGATCAAGGCATGGATGAGGGGCCCAATGGCTTTACTTGGCTGCCTCTCTCTGTCATTGAGAGATCTATTCGACTTGAAAGATGCCGCAAAGATGGAAAAGAGGCTTGTAAACATTTTCAGGATGAAGTTGAGTTGTATGAGCTTCTTGACTTCTCATCTTCGATACAGATGATAGTATTGACTGAGTGCTGAGTCTCTGCTAATAGAATATACATGTGTTTTCATTTACATATCTTGTTGTGTACATTATTTTGTGGCCAATTCTCCCTCCATTCCTGCATCGCCTCTAACGTCAGGTGTGGCTGAATGGTCGTGGGAATAGTCGCCGCCGTGAGAACAGTCGTCGTCGTTTGTAGTCGTTTCGACTGGCATCATGCGACTAAACGACAGTCGCACGATCATTTGACGACTCGCACAACACTGGCGCCTATCAAGAAAGCTAGTGCCACACTTCGGGCGTTTCATACGTCAGTCCTTTCTGATGGGCGCTGCGCATGTTCAGTACTGAGCGCGCACTGTGTTGATCTCATTACCAATCGATACCCCGCAACCACAGCGAACCGGAGGAGCATCGTTGCAGCCTCAGTTCACCATCCCGAAGCCCCGCTCATGTCCGCTCGCAGTGTGCGTACGCAGACGTCAAATTCTGCATCGCAGCTTAGGCCTATCGTTATGGACAGGCTGTCACAGCCTTCTTTGATCTTGCGAAGGCAGCGCTTGGAGCACGATTGCGATGATGCTCCGGTGGCTCTTTCGGACACTTCGCCGTTACATGCTTCGACAAATTGAAATAAGCCGCGCCCGTCCAACTGCGGGCGGGAGACGACCCCTCCTTCACGTCCTTTGATACACTCTTTTCCTCCTGGAGACGACTTCGCGCCTTTGCCATGGATATCGAGCTTAACGCGAATATTGGATGCTTTTTCATCGGAGTTATAATCGCCACCCCGTGAGTGTGGTCTCACTCGATCGACGAAATGTCGCTAAGCCTATCGCTGTCAGGTTGTATGGTCTTACTTGTGCTCAAGTCATGTACTATGTTCGCGACTATTCAGAGGACTGGATCTGGTTGAAGAGCTTGGTGAGTCACTATACTTAACAGGTGCATTGCCGGCTCGTTAACAGAGTCTTGCGCTTAGGTTGCTGTTTTATTGTGTGTGTCAATTGCTAGTGTTCTATATTCCATGATGAAACTGTGAATCTGTCAGCCTCCTGGATACCGCAACGTCGATCGTGTCGTTTGAGGTAAGGTAAATTGTTAGATGGAGCAACATTGAATGGGTAGACTGACTTCATCTAGTTTGTCTGGCATAACCTAGTCGCGGGGCATAGCAATCCCCTTGTCCTCACCAGCCTGGATAGGTATTCATTCAGACGTTATCCAGACGTATTGAGCTGATCCATCGCATACGTGATGTCTAAAGCACCGGTGCTGTAAGTCATCTTGCGGAGATAGTTATCATTGACTGAATTCATTCTCTGTCAGATTGAATATTTGCTCGCTGTGAGTCATCTATCACGTTGCGTCAATTTACACAATTCCTCACCGCAACCTGGATAGGCATTCATTGTGATCATTGTGCAATCGTATGTATTACGACTGGTCTTAACGATCCAGCCCCATGTTGACATTCTCCTGTTCAGTTATTACATGCGCACAATATGGATCCGTGGGTTGTCTGTCGCATAATGCACTGGAAACTACTGACGACTACAGCAGTACTAGCCAATAAGCCCTACAAGATACCACTGATGGCCGTCTTGGTGAGTTTATGCCGTCGATATACATCACGCTAGTGTCTCATGTTTGAACAGGTTGCATTGACCCTTGTATCATTTGGTGAGCACTCTCCATGTGCATTTATTTCGCATTTGATACTGACAGACTCTTTAGGATTCGGCGTAGGTGAGAAAGAGTCTCCTGTGGAAAATATAGCATGAACTGACGGGCACGTCTTGCCGCTAGCAAATTGCGTTACAGGGTAAACACGTGGTCTGCGCCCATACTGCCCATGCTGAACACCTTCCATAGGATTCGCTCCCCAGCCATACCTGCTCTGTACACCAAGTTGCGGGTATGTGGCTTTGCTCGGGCCCGGATAATTAGCTCTGATGGGGCCACATAGGTCGGTGCATCTATACAACCGTTTACCGCGTCTGTGTCAGATGTCTTCATCACCGTCATGCTGTGTTGGGTTCTGCACAACGAAAATACTGGGCTGGCACAGTGCGTATCCTAGATCTGTCATTCGACGTTGCCTCTTGATTCAAACCCCAAGTTCAGCACCGACTCGCTCCTGCGCACTCTCATGATCTACGCGATCAACCGAGGTATACTCACCACGTGAGTTCTGAGAGATCTCGATTGGAGCAAATGACTCAGCGCACCACAATTTAGTGCGTTACAGGTCGGTCAGGCTGTGTCCGTGAGTAATCCGAATGAACGCTGCTCTTCGAGTCTGAGTCTAATGCCTCCTAGTTTGTGGCAAGTAGCCCTGATGCGTTTTACTGGTCCCTTTTCCACTTTCCCGGAAGCAAAGGTGCGCGTGAGTCACGACGTGGAACCCCTACTCACCTTGCAAGTGTCGTACAGTATACGTGAACTCCGCTCTAGCTATGTCAGTTCCACAAGGCGTATCCAGCAGGCGATCAGCACTGATAATGTACGCAGATTGAATGCGCGACATCACATACGCGGTCCAACAGGGAACTATAACCCATCCACCACCATATCGGCAAATGCAACAATGGGCAGGAATATCCCATCACGCTCTGTGGACGAAGAGGTGGCCAGCACATCTTACAGGTGAGAATCATACACTCCTATAAGGGGCGTAAAATGCTGACCACTATTTATAGCTCGAGGGACGGAGGACGGCTGAGGTACGAGAACATTTCGAAGACGACCGACTGATCTCCCCGAAAGGCAACAAGCCACCTTTGTACTGTTTCATGATATGGTACCTTGAATAAGGACCGGTGCCTTCGTTGCAGCCCGGGATCATGGCGAGCGCATGCCATACTATCTGGCGTTATTTGTAGTACCTTGCAGATCTTGCGCAAACCTCTGTGCAAATTCGTTATATTCTTGTTGGTTGATCTCGCTTCGGATCTCAAATAGCCTCTAGTACATAATGAAGGCTTGTTCCAATATTTAGGAGCATAGGTAATATCGTATTATTATGACTTGGTACAGATAACTGTGCTGCGGCCGACGGTAAGGGACCGACTGTGGTGCTCGTCAGTACGCAGTGCGCGGGTGCATGCTGTGAAGATGGACAAGCTGTGGAGTGTCATTGAAAAAGCCATTTGCCTGTATGGGGCGCACTATTATCAACTACAGTCGTGGGACGACTCATCAATGCCACTCGATATGACCCACCCGCCACTACTCATCGTGGATTGCACCTGACCACCTTCGGCTCTCGTCTGCCTCGCAAATATCAGAGGGCTGTGTGGCTTGCTAGTCTCCAGAGGATCCGCTTGTGAGTGTGTTGCGTGCTGTGGCAGCTCATTGAGGCCCGGGTCACGCAAGTTGAGCATGAGTCGCGAAATTAAGACACTTGACATCCTATTCATGATAAATGTTGGTACTGCATCACAGTTATATGCCCCGGCCATACTCACACGTTTGTGAGCGTTGACACCATACCCCGTGTGTAATCCTGACAAGGGGTATGAGGTACTCTCTTCGTGCTCACAGTGCTTCACATACGTTACCAAGCTAGCAGAGAAGCAATCAGTGTGTGGATCCAATGCCTCTGTGAATAAAGGCACCTACCAGGAAGATCACGATGTTTGCGACATTCACAATGACAAGGGCACCGAAGTAGATGATTCCTTAATAAATGGTCGAATTAGTGAAGTGACATGGTAACAGCAATGATCACGCCAACCGTCTCGCAAGAATATCTGCAGTAGTGTTCCGGTCCGTGGAGCTAAATGCAGCAGTCTGATTGTCTTGCATAGGGTAAGAAGAAAGATCATCGTATCGAATATGAGCATCGCGCTCCAAGGAGCGATTAGATCTGCAGCCATGCAGATGTGACCATAAGATCCGGTCATGATTCAGGCGCACTTACAATCGGCCCTAGGAATTATATGAGCACATATGTCCCCGATTTGACAAAATAATGAATGAATGAACATACTGGCGGATCGTCAACAGCGCATTGCATGTTGATGTCGGGACATAATCCGTACGAGGGCCTCCTGATGTTCTACTTGCAATGACTGCCCACTGACCACTCATCTCAGCGAACTGCTCCGTGATAAGATCAGCTGCGATGCTCACAACACCGACTATTGCTCCCGTGGCACATACAAGTAGCAAGGCGGCCAATACACGCTTGCTTCTCTCATATAATGCATATGTACGGATCACGAGCAGGGCTTACCCAACAATAAGCGCTGGGATTATGGAACAGAGTAGTAGCACACAGTACATACCTGATACGGTAACTTGTGTCGCGACGGAGAATGCTTGGTGAAAGAGCTGTAGGTGGCAACTTAGGCGACGGCATTAGTCAATTACCAATTCTTGCACATACAACACAAGGCTAGAGCTCACTGCTACACAGGAGGTTATTCAGGCGTCAGGTGTGGACATGGTATGCAACATACTTGAGGAGACATGTCCGCAAAGTACTCGAGTGCGATAGGGATTTGTCCTGCCACAGCAAAATACCGGTTCAATACAAAGAGAGTTGAGGTCCAAGAAACCTTGTGCTGTGCCTTCCAAAAGTTGTCGATCTCCATAGATAGTGTCAGAAAATAGTCATAGTACAGGATTGCTACCAGGAACACTGTGAGCATCTACGCTGGCGACACTGAGGTTGTCAAATATGACGTACTGAAAGAAGCGAGCGCCAGATAGCGGTTCGCCTCAGGTCCTGAGAAGCTGCAGAGGTCGCATGTGGACATTATCGAGAAATAGGAATGGTTGCGCATACCTCAGAAAAGTAGGGATATTGTCGTTAATTGATTGCATACCTAGGTAGCACAGTGGAAATGGCCTCATCGTCACATCCCTCCTGGCTTATATGGCACTGTAGGAACAGATCTGAGTTACCAGAGACAAACAGCATCAGTGGCGCAGATCAGTCCTCACTGGTATTGCGATACTGCGGTCAACGAGGGATTATACCAGAACGTCTGCATCCCCTCTTCGTAGCATATCCTTTCACCCATATCCCGAGCTCTTTAGGCCATGCGATCGGGATCCTACACACAAACAAACTGTTCATTCACTGATGCCTCTTCCTTGACATCAGCCCATCGAAGAACAAGCATGACACCCGACGTGCAAAGTACTACAAATAGATTGCTTAAAATGGCAGCGAGTGTAAGGTTACATTCCACTGAGTGGGCTGTTACGTTTTATTCCGGTTGATCGATAGATGCCTTCCTGCAGTATCTGGACGGTTTGCAGATGCAAACCGGACTTTGAAACAGATCCGTTGTGTCGTGCCGTTTGGCAGAAGAAAGACGCCCGGAGGGCGGCCGTTACCAGCTGTTTTCAATAGGTTGCCAACGAGTGACTAACGAGGGCAGGAATGGATGAGGTAAGCGCAAAAATGAATGGGGTGAGCAAAGTGATCATGTTGGAGCCAACGAGAAATGAGCGGAGCCCGAAAACAAGGTTTGCAACGCTCGATCTGGTCTGGAGGGGTACTCCCCTCCAGATGCAAACGTGACAATCAAGACTCTCCGGCGTCTAACAGCACGGCAACGGTCAGGTCAGTCAGATCAGCCGTGTTGCCAACAAGATTTAGAGCTCGATTCTACTATTCTGCAATCGTGTCCAGACCTCTGCGGGAAGGCATCCAATCATCGCCTAGATCTATCAGTACATGGCCTATTGACAATTGTACCGCCCAGCACAGTGAAAATTGTATCTTCACCACGGCTCCCAGCGCAGAGTTCAACATTAGCGTTCTCTGGGCTCTGTGATCTGTTAAAGTTCGTCCGAGACCCGAAGCGAGAACGATCAACAAGATATATCGCATTTGTCTGAGCTCTGTCAAACGCGTAAGGAACGTACAGGACGGCTCGTGCAAAGTCTACGAGGTACTACAAACAATGCCAAATATGGTGGCATGCGCTCGCCACAATCTCAAGTTCCAACATGATCAGCAGCGTACCGGACACAAATGCGCATTGTGCGCAGTGTTCCACCGCCGAAACAAGCGCATAACATCTAGACGAGATCATAACCATCACGTGATCGCATTCGTTTTTAGTTGCCTCCTTCCCAGCCCTCTGGCCCGGCGGTATTTCCAAGAGAGGCCCTAGCCACTCCAAACACTGAGATAGGGCGGTCTGTTACTCATGGGCTGCCTAGGGAGGACTAGGTACGCCCAGGGCTCTGCGCAAAGATTGCTTTTTCGCATCATCTCGCAACTACTAGCACTAAGTAAGATGTCTCATGATACTTGTATAATCCATGCTTGCTCGACCAACCATAGCACCAGCGATTTTCCGTATCTAAACGACTACACATTTCACGGTCGAATTGCGGCTCTAGAGCTCTCCAGGATGACATAGCGTAATATCAGATATATCACATGTAAGTAATTGCCTCTTCTCGTCGAGAGCAATCGGACGGACATTTGTACGGCAGGTGTGGCATGCGGCCTTCCGAAGGGCAACCTCCCAATGGTTTCCCCTTATCAAAGACTGACATTTTCATAATCTTCTGATAGCCTGGGCAAAGGTTAAGCAGTGGTATCGACAAACATGCCTGACCTCTCTTATCATAACTTCCTCATATCTAATCATTCGCGGACTCCAAAGGAAGCTTCCGAGCCAGTCGCAGTATTTGAAGAATGACCATGCCTACAGAAGAAAACTGCGTTGGCGATCCTGTGCCATGTCTCAGTCAGGTATTTCTGAATTCAAACCTCTGCTCGGTTGGTTGTGTAGCGTTCCTTTGAGAAAGACGTATGCATGATTGACAACTTGAATGCGCAGATCAAAGCGTGGGATATGGCGTGGTCGTCGGTACGTGCAAGTTATTCTTCCAATGGTTCCTACTGATTGGTACCATTTGAACAGGCGTTGGATTCTTCTTTGCAGCTCTTATGCTACTTCTCACGACACTTCAATCGAAATTCTCGAAATTCTCCCCTTCCTCATCGGAAGAATTCAGCGTAAGTGGGCGACCCGAGCGATGTGGTTATTATATTCACTGAATACGTGACGATAACAGAGTGCTTCCAGGAGCGTTAAAGTCCGTTCGTCATTTGTATCACCCAGATCATCTAGTCTGACATCATACTACCGCAGCCAGGTCTTGTCTGTTGTGGGATGTAAGCCTAGGAGAACGGCTGACGGGTTTAAGCTCACGTGTTGTTTGGATCAGTGTGAGTGCATGGACATGGAGCGCCACGCTCCTGCAGTCAAGCACGGCAGCGTACACATTTGGTATGTACAGCATCGCACAATATTTACCAGGGCGTTCGATGCATTAAGTAATACTATGCAAGGTGTTAGCGGGCCTTGGTGATCATACGCCATTTTCGAGTCGTTTGGCTCTCACTAAGGCCTGGACAGGTGGTATGGTGTTGGCGGGACGATACAGCTTGCATTCTTCGCTATGGTCGCGGCAAAAGTAAAGATGAATGCAAACGGAGCTCACACCTTTTTGGAGGCACGTAATCCGCTTTGTGCTGTCGCAGACCATTCATATGAGGTTGAATTACAGATAGCGAAGGCGCGTTTTGGTACTAGTGTGCACATGTTATTCACATTTTACGGCTTCCTCTGCATTCTGGTCGTCTGTGGCTCGCTGTTGCGTACGTATGCGGTCCTTCCTGGTACTTATTTTCTGCTCATCTTGGTTATATCTAGTTGGGGGCGCTGCAACTGTGAACGCACTCACAGGGATGAACGTTATCGCGGCCTGTTTCCTACTCCCGATCGGTATCGCTGTCTACGTGATCTTTGGCGGGCTTCGCGCGACATTCATGTGCGACTGGGCACATACGGTTATTCTCTTCATTGTCATATATCTATTCATGGGACACGTATAGTACGATCGCAGCTCACGATACTCCTGAAGGTCTGCGTACTAATTGATGCTTGCACAGTGGAACGTCGTCGGAAACAGGAAGCATTGGCGCTTTGTACGACTTGCTCGCGCAGGCTGGCATTGATTCTCCTGTGAGCGGCAACGTCGACGGGAGCTATCTCACTATGAAGTCGAATCCAGGAATGGTCTTCGGTGCAGCGAGCATCCTGTCTGGATTTGCGGGTGTCTTCTGCGACCAAGGTGCGTAGCTCACAGCATGATTCAAGGGGCAGAGCACATATTCCTTTGCGCAGGTTACTGGCAACGCGTGAGCTCCATCTAATTCAACGCACATTGTATGTGGCAAGGTCTGATGATATAACGTAGGCTATTGCTAGCGCGCCAGAGACGACTACAAAAGCATACGTTAGGCTCCCGCGATTGACTAATTTGATCGTGCTCTGAAATCATTTTCCTATTCCTTTTCTAGATGCTCGGTGGCCTATCTTGGTTCGCAGTCCCGTGGGCATTCGCGTCGTGTTTGGGTTTATCCGCTCGTGCGCTCCTCAATAACGTATGTACGTCACAGTCCATCGCAACCGGCTTGTCATTGACCTGTCTTGTGCTGCATTGACAACCATATAGCCCAAATTTCCCACGTATCCGAACCCTCTCTCCGCTGCCCAAGCGAGTGCAGGTCTCGCTGCCCCCGCTGCTGCTGCCGTTGTCATGGGTAAAGGCGGAGCAATCGCAGTCTTGCTTGTCGTATTGTGCGTCACGACATCTTTCAGTATGGTCAAAGGCGCCTGACTCCTCCGTTAGCATGGCAGTCACCTCTGCTGTTAGCGCAGAACTGATTGGTGTCTCAAGTCTCTTGTGAGTGGACATGTAGCTATCGTAAACCGTCCCTTCACGCGTTTCCCCTTCAACAGTACCTACGAGTGAGCGCACAAGCACTTACTTTGCCGGATCAACATTGAGTGCATCCACGTAGCATCTATCGCACATACTTCAGGCCGAAGGCAAGCAGCACGGAACTTGTCAGAGCCTCCCACTATTTCATCTGTGCTTGGGCTGTATGGGCGGGTGCATGGGCCACGATTGTATGTTCGACCCACACACCCCTTCGTGTGTTCCCGTAAAGCTCATTCCTTGCGTAGCTCAACGCAGCCGGCGTGGACCTTGGTTGGGTGTGTCTCCATGTCTGAGCCAAAACTGAGACCATTATTGATCTGGCATACCTGCGTAGCTGTTCTACGTGCAGTAAGTGCTTGCGACCTCAGTCTCTATGCTCGTTGATCATGCACTCCTTGTCAGAGGCGTCGTTCTCAGTCCAGCAGTGATCCCGATCGCGCTCACAGTTGCATGGTCGAAACTGACGCGAGCTGCTGTGCTGAGCGGGTCTATCGTCGGCGCGATCCTCGGCATGCTCGCCTGGATGGTCAGCTGCTGGAAGATATACGGTCTGCTCTCGCCTGCTATACCTATGTCCACTGCAGCGCAGTCTCATTCGAGCTCTCTAGGCTCGATCACCGTGGCGAACCTGGCGGAGCCGTACTCCGCCGTGTGCAGCGGGCTCACGGGGTTGCTCTTTTCCGGCGTAATCACCGTCTGCGTCACCCTCGCTCGTATGTTTCCGCGATACCACCGCTCACGACGATAGGCAGTCAGGCTGATACTCACCATCCATTCCTTAGATCCCGCCGACTACGACTTTTCCGGGACGCGTGCCATTGTGATCTACAAGGACGACAAGCAGGACGCGGGGCCCGCCGTCTCTGACGACGTATCCGACTCGGGAAAGGACGACCCAGAGAAGGCAGGCATCGTCGCCGAGGTGCAGCCGGTAGCTGCAGACCAGGCGTTGGGTGCAGACCAGGCGGCGGAGCACGCGGAGCTGAAGCGCGTCTTCCGGCGCGCAGCATGGTACTCGCTCGCGCTGACGCTCATCGTCGCCATCCTCGGTGCGTCCCTTCCTGCGTCTCCTATTCTTGAGCGCGTGATGATGGTTGAATGCGGGGCTGACGGCGGACGCGGACAGTGCCCATTCCGATGTTCTTCTCGCACTACGTATTCAGCAAGCCGTTCTACACCTTCTGGGTGGCGTGCCAGATGTGCGTCGAAACCTCCGCTGTGTCGCGCGCTGCTGACGGTGTCTCTCCTCATGCTGTACTGCAGCATCTGGGTCGCCATGAGCGGCACGTTCTGCATCGTCTTGCCCATCGTCGAGTCGAGGCGCGAGATCATCGTCATTCTGGGTGGCGTGTGCCGGGCCCTGCGTCGCGGCCCAGCGGCGTGAGCGCCCAATGGTACATACACGATTCCCGGCAGATACCATCCAACCCAATGTGGCGCCACACCATTGACTTGGCCATTCACTACTGCGCCAAGCGCTCATTTCCAATAGAGATCCCGAATGAAGATTAGACATCGAAGCATCAGATTTGTTGAGCGCTGTGGCTCGCTATCGCACATGATGATGAGATTCGCGCAAACGGGTTCTTCTGATACTAAACGGAGACCAACCAATTGTCCGTTTGCCTGGCGGCTAACTTTAGCTGGATGAGAATGGAGGAAGCCTATATTAACATACATGAGCTGCCTCCCGTCTAGATACACACACACTCTATAGATAGCTATTTGCAAGCGGAGCCCGGAAGAGAGTACCACCCCGACTGTGTCGACGAAAGACAGCCGCTTCAGGCTTTCCCTGCCTTCTCCGCGCGCGCGGGCGGCAGTCTCTGCATGGGCCCCGCGATGCGCGCCATGAAGAAGCGCGTGAGGAGCGACCGCATGAGGACGAAGGGGTAGAAGAAGCGCAGCGTCGTCCAGAGGAACATGCGGCTGTGCTGCGCGACGGTGCGGTCGTAGTCCTCTGTGGCGTGCGTTAGCGGCGCGTGCGAGGGGCAGCCAGGCGACACACGTACTCTCGAGGGTCTCGCGGAGCTCGAGGTAGGTGAGCGGGACGTCGGTGAGGATGACGTCGACCCCCCACCGCACGGCCTGGGAACACACATACCATTGAGCACATCTATTTGCTGCGCGGGAAATGGAAACCTGAGACTCGGATGCGTACCTCGACCATCTCGTCGCGGTCGTTCACAGTCCACACCGCGACCTGCTTTCCCGCCGCCTTGCACTCCCGCAGGAACCGCTGGCCCTCGACAGACGCCATCAGCGGGAAGCGCATCGAGAACAGCACGCAGTTGTCCCAGAAGAACTGGCGCGCCAGGCAGACGTCGTTGCCGATGTGCGACATCGTGCAGTACGGCAGGATCTCGCGCGCGTGCAGCACGAAGTGCGTGTGCCAGAGGCCGAGAACGATGCGCGGCGCGAGCGCGGCCTCCCAGGCGGGCTGGGCGGAGATGATCTTGTGCATGAGCGCGAAGAGCCGCGGGGGGTCGTTGGAGACCTTGACGTCGACGTTGAGCTTCATGTGCTGGTTTTCGGGCTGTGTGCGCGGTGAGCAGGCCAGGACGACAAATTGCGTGGAGGACAGACCTTCATCAGGAGCGCGACTGTATCGGCAAACGTGGGGATGGGCTGGTGCGGCTCCTTGATTGTCCTGAGATGTTCCATGCCATCAGGGCCATACCAGTTCTTGTCCTTGATCCATCCTGCACGACGACGATGTGAGTGGACATCCCCGAGCAGTCATGCTACGGACCTTTGCCGTTCGTGGTTCTTTCGAGCGCTACGAATGAATGGGTGAGCTAGAACGCCGCGGTGTGGCATCAAAGGCCTACTGGGGTCGTGGAACATGATCACGACGTCATCTCGTGATACGTGCACGTCTATCGAGGATCGTCAGCGCAATTCAGTATTGTTTTTCCGGGCGGGTTCTAGGACGTACCGCTCTCGATGCCATCTGCGCCCTCTCTGATGGCCGCCTCGAAGCTGGCAAGTGTGTTCTCGGGGTATGCGGCAGACGCCTAGCATCGCGGCGTTGGAATCATGCGGAGATGCGACACGTGACACGTACCCCGCGATGCCCCCAGCATTCCGGCAATTTGCGCGATGCCATCGTCCTCAACATGATGCGGGTGTTTGGACAGAGCTCAGCTTGAGCGGAAGGACGATGTGAATGATTTATGGCGCGGCCGGTGCCTTGCCTTCAAATAAAGGAACCCGGTTGCGTGCCGGGCTTACTCGTCAGGGACTCGACTACCGGCCTTGGAGTGGGTGCTGCCACACTCGGACGTCATGGGGCTGACACCCGCGAACGTGGCTCCAGGGTCAGCCACTCCTCTCGCACACGGTGCGTACTTTCGTCCACTGTGAAGCACGTTCATTGCGCTGTACCCCACGTAGACCTTCGGCTCGGCATCTGGCGCTGATTCGTAATCTCAGGCACGGCTTTCGCCTCTCGGTGTTAAGAACGCTGCGCAGCGCAGCCTACCCTTGCTGACACAAGGTGAGTACCCTTCCTTCGCTTTGGCAGGAATGGCCGTGTATGGGTACCGAGGTCGGACTGCTGGAGTTGCTGATCTCTGGCCAGGGTTGCTCAGGCTCGTATAACAGATGTAGAGGGGATCGGTGGCCCACGCAGATCGAGCGCGCAGCTGTCCGATAGATCCAATATATACCGGTCGGTCAGCCACAAGTAAAACCTGGAGATACAAGAAGCTTCTGGCCTAGACAGAAAGACCACGGAAACCCCTGTAGATGTTCAATGCCCACCTGCTGGTGAGAGGTACTGTTGATCCCGGGTTCGGTGTAGGACATTTCTGTGTTCTGGGACTTCTCGCTTTTACCATGCCTTGAAAGGCTTCATTTTGAGTACTCGATGAAGGTGCTGTGGGAGAGTCGGTCGCAGTGATGTCCGTAGATGGCCGAAGAGATGTGTTGACTACATGCTAGCTAGAAAATTAAAAGAATGAAACGGCCGCGTTGATCTAACTGTATGCGCGTTCGCAAACAACAAACAAACAAACAACGACGCGCGGACGTTACGAAACGCGATCGGAATTGTAAGCCACGATCCTCGAAGAGAAACAACGTTCAGAAGCGCGCCCGATATAACAACACTCGAACACAAACAACATACACGATATCCCAAAGCGTACCCGACGGTAACGCACGTACCATGAATCCCTTTAAACAGGCCCGAGTAGCCTGGCGCGTACAAGGACCAAATAACTAAGCGAATTACCAGGTGCCTGGATGCTTGAGCCTTGTCGAAGGATTGAAAGCATAAAATGGGAGATGGTAGTGGTTCGAGGGAGAGAGGAAAACTGAATTATACGACATCGATGCCCGCTTTTATATGTACAGGGTTACTATGACAGTAATGATATCATATGCGACTTGCGAGAAGGGAATGACGCACGACTTGGCCGTTGATCGACACATCGTCCCGAAATAGAAAGCACCTTCCGAATCGAGTTGGGAGCCCATCCAGGGCGTAAGCAAGCTAGACTCGATGAAGTCAGCTCGAGTCCACTCTTGGCCATGTCTCAGCGTCCCGAGGATGTTACCTACCGCGTCATATTTGCTTGCGTACCTGCCGCCCTCAGGAGCGCGACGACACCGGTATCCTCGTTCAGCCTACACCAGTCGCTTTGTCTCGCCTTCAACGCCGTCTTCGCAAGCCCGAGAGTCGATGGGGAATACATTGTACGTACGTAGTCTTTTTTAATAATTGTAAACGAAGAAGAGAGAAAGAAAAGAAAAGAAAAGAGAAGGAAAAACATGACCACGTTCGCGACTCTTCGCGTCCGGTTCTAGCGCGCTTTCCTCCAGACCTACTCAGAGCGTTTCGCACGAGTCGTGCATACGGTGACATCATCATCACCAGTTCTCGTTCCTCCTTGGCATGTTGCAATTTCTAGCAAGTCAGCTGAAATCTTCTGGGATTCGGATGCAACTTAACGTGTCAACCACGAACCAGTAGCTCGGTTCCGGCGCCGGGCTTTTCATAAACACAGCATCATTGAATGACGTGCCTTTGGTTTCTCTTGATCTCTCAACCCTCTGCATGATAGGGCCGTGTATGACATTCTGCCCGACGACGGCTAGAAACAGACGTTTCGGACAGGCTGTTATGCTTGTCTGCCGTTACATTTACACACTCACGATGCGTGCACACGATCCTTACAAATACCTCGTGAGTCTAGCCTTTATCCCATTGCGGTGTCTGATTTGCGAGGTCTTAACCATCAGATGACTGCACGGCTCGGTCGAATCTCAGTCGCATATGCAGCAGCTTAGGAGCATATGTGAGGGTGTAAGCGACCCGTCAGGTCATCTGCGCAATGAGCCGCGCGTTGCTCGACTAGACGCCGTGGAATCTCAGGGTGGGGAAGTCGATCAAGGAGATGCTTGGGTTGAGGTAATTATCGTGTTAATGCCACCGGGTAGATGTGACTCTTTTTGGCATGGATGAGAGCGGGACTCCGGGGGCGGCGGTCGACGGCAACCGTCGGGGGAAACGTCAGAAACGCCCGATTTGGCAAGCTACGCCTGACGGGCGCCTTTGCGCCAATTGGCGCTCTGGTCCTGCCACACGGATGCTTATTGAGTCTCCAATGTTGTTACAATCCCACGGTGACGCACTGCCGGCACATGGGGATTGCCGCACACCAGTGGAGAACTTCTACATTGTAGGCGCTTCGTCCGCACTGCAACTTGGCACACCTGACAACCTCGATGTAGCGCCCACGGGTCTGATGACGATGCCAACGGACGTCTGACAGACTGACATTGCTTGTATAGTCTCGTTCGCACGTCAAGAAGCAAGCGACAATGCCGACTTGCTCAGCGAAGATTGATTTGTTCTACTCAGATGGTAGATTGGATATCTATTTCATCCCGCAGGAGTGAGGCCTTAGTGAGGCTATTTCTAGCGCTTCTCTCGCCTAACCAATGTCCGTATGCAGCCAGCGGCGTAGATGCGATCAAAGCAGGAGGATCATCAATCTCACCCCTGCTGGCTTGAATAAAGGAACGAGATTCGCAGTCACCGCAATACCTGTCAAGCCCTCTACCAGACTTACTGCTCATCTCTTCACTCACCATGAACCCCTTGGCTGAGCCTCCCGCAGAGCCCCTTTGGACTTCACGGACGCAGGACGGAGTTGTATCCTACACGAGGTAAGCACTGTCTGGCGCGCGGGACGGGTACCATTCAAGAATGCAGGCCTCTAATAGGGTCTGAGCTGCTGATGTTTGCTCTCCATGAGCGCGACGATGGGTATGTTGCCATTCGAATGCGCCCTAAGTCGCGCTTCTAACGCACACGCACCCTCAGGACGGCCGACGTGTGCTTTGGCCTCACCTTCACTACCGATCTGAAGTCCAATGTTCTCGGAGAGAGGCTGAAGGGCGCGTTGGGCTATCTGCGGTAAGCGCGCTTAGTCGTAGAGGATGGCACAATGAATTAGAGGTTTTCACAAACAGCTTCATCTCACCGCTACTTGCATGCACCATCGAGAAAGATGCTGTTGACTCTGCAGTAAACCACTGGATCTATACGCCGGCCTCGGACTCGCAGGAAGTGGAACAGTGGGCTGCCAATAGCTTCAAGCTGATCGACGACGCGGTAACTCCAGACGAATTCGTCTATCAGATGGTTGCAACGCGGCTTCCGTACGTCCATCCCGACGGAACGAAGCAGTACTGGAAGATTTATCTGCTTCCGAACACTCCGGGCGGGAGAATGGCGATCTTTACCCACGGCACCCACGCCATCTTTGACGCCCGTCCCAATCTCAACATGCTTCGGATCATCCTCGAAGAAATCGTTCTCCAGGACAGGGACCATCATGTCGGTCAGCTACCGTGGGGAGAAGAGTGGAAGAACCTGGCGCCAGGGCCTGTGACTGCCACTGGAGGCCCACGCCCCGACTGGGGAACCGAGGGTATGAAGATTCTACGGCGCTGGAAGGCGCTGAGGACGAGTGATATTGTGTGTTCCTCAGCCGTTCAATCGTGACAACACATACTCACGAAATATATAGCCCTCTCACTCGTTGAAGCCTGCGCGGCTTGAGATTAAGGACATCGGGAGACAATCCTGTATTCATGAAGCAATCGATGTAGAGACATCATCGCGCATTATCAAAGGGCTGAAACAAACTGGACACACCGTTACCCGCCTATTCGAAGCCGCTCTGATTATAGCCATGTTTGAGCAAAATCCCGAATTGAACGCCCCTCCAGACGAGGCGCATGTGACGCTGGATCTCTCCTTGTGAGTCGTAGTCTCTGATTTTCACGGTGGCTGAATCTCGACCCCTCTATCCAGTATCTCTCTCTCTCAATATCTAGTCCCGCCTTACAATCAACTTTCGCACATCACTTCTACATCGGTCATTGTTCCTGTCAAGGTACCGTTCACGACTGTCCAATCTGAAACGGATCCTCGCAAGAAGCTCTGCGCTGTCATGGACCGCCTCAAGGCTGAGTACGACGAGTATTTGTCGAACCCGCATCTTCCTCATCTCAACGCACACATATTCGCGCTCAAGCCATTAACTGTGGCTCCCTCCTCGACATGGAGAAACCCGGCTTCCCTGCTCGTCACGAATGTCGGCTCCCTTGACCGGATGATACCGCTCACGTACGGTGTCAGTGCTTCGGCCACAAGCTCTCGGCCGGAGATTGAAGTGCAAGACCTCGCGTTCCAGCACCGCTGGTCCCACAGCGCCAGACCGTAGGTGTCACCCACTACTCTGCTCGGAACTCCCTCTGCTAGTTCGTTCTGACCGGAGCCTAGGCTTGTACATCTTTGGACCATTGGCGGCAAATTACATATCCAGGTCGTGGTGAGTCGTTTTGGCAGTGTATGTCTGGCGCGGTCACTCATGAGAGGTGTCTCAGGCTGCCGATGTATGGGATATGCAGTACCTGCGGGAGTACCTTGGGCGCGCGATTGCGCTCACGAGCATTATTGCAACTGACAACTAGCACCCTGCTGTCTTATCGGCGCCTTTACCTATTGTATCACTCATTGCACCCGCACGCACGACTTCTTCGCTACACCTCTCGAAGACAGCACGCCATTGTCTTTCAATCCTTATGCTTCGACTTGAATGTCCTATCTAAGCGAGCAGCATGAGGCGCGTGGGTGCGCGTGAGACTTCCAGACTGACTTGTTGCGCGAATTTCGTGGGGTCGACTACGCCTTCTTCTCGTAATCATCAGCGGAACGTTTTGTAGTGAGCAATGCAGCCACAATGGGACGTACGCTGTACAGGCTTCACACACATTTCCCTTCGAAGATGTCTCCCATGGGTTCATATACAGAGTGGTCAAGACTCAGGGTGCGTGTACATGTTTCGTGCTCACGTTCCGTAGAGTCCGATCGTACGGTGGATCTGTGGGTTGAATCCATCCAGTGGTTACTTAGAAGCCGGGAGGTTGCATCTCCCCCCTGGTGGTGCACGCGATAAATGTGGTCAGTGTTGATTGTGGAAGGGATGCAGACGCTTCACAGCTCTCATGTAGGTGGTATTGCGTGAAACTGCATGGCTCAAGTTAAGGAGTTTACCACGGGGATCCCTGGAAGCAGGTAACTTATATATAGGCTTTTTTTTCTCAATGCTGATATTAGTGCTACAGCGACTTTGAGCCTCAGTTGATTCACTACCTATCCGTAGCCTCCTTCAGTGAGAAACGCGGCTTTTTGTAAACTGCAGCAAATGGGCTGACGTCGTAATCTGCAGGCGTAGTGCGCTATGATTACATGCTCTCCATGTGTCTGCAAAGACGCAAACTGAAGGGTTGGTCAGGCTACTGCGCGTGGCATAGCCACCGCCTTTACAAACGTGCGAGTCTGAAGTCCTACAATTTGTAGTGATCGACCCTGATCATGCTCTGGGCGAGGCTGTCAAGTGCACTGATCACCCTGCTGACGCTCAACCCGCGTACTATGTGCTGACAGGACGGACACATCATACAAATCGACTTCTGCCGGACGTGTCTGATACTCCCAATCACCGCGGCGTGCTGTGGCTACAGCGTCAGACAATGCAGACGTCAAACTCTCCCTTGTGAGCCGCGGTGAAGATGTAATGTTCGTTGTGCTGGGTGGTATGAAAGGCCGTGTATTGACAAATATAAGCGATGATTGATCAATCGGACCAGAATGTAACAACCGAGTTGTACTCATAGAACTGAAGACCATGATCGACAGGTCGCCGTCGTTCCCAGGAAAGGTTTGTACGACCGGCTCCGAGAAACCTGTGTGGGACGGCACGGCATGTGCTCCACTGCCAGCTGTCACGCATGCCGCGCGCGGAGGCGAGATTTTAACTTTAAACCTTGGATACGGCGCCTACCGGGCAATTCCCAGGTCAGCACCCCTTTCCTGATTGGCTCAGTGGCCGAAATCGCTGATCGGACTACGAACATCCCGAGAAATCCTGTACTCTCATTGGCGGTCATGCCTGCCGACTTGCGGCAGTGCTTCCGTGAAATGGAACCATACATCCGCCGCCATTTCAGGAAATCCGTTTGTTGTACTTTGCGCGTCGGATTATGTGGATATTCTTCGACGGCAGGACGGCTTCATGTCAAAGAAGAGGCCTTCAGTGAAGTCTGTGGTTTGTTTGAATCTACGGTGCCAACCACATGGCCTAAACGGTTCGAAATCTGGCTGAGAAGGTATGCTACAAACAGGATGTTTAGAACCGAACAATCATGGGGGAGCTAAAGGACCCGTATGTACCATACAGATTCATCAGCAATGCAAGATAAATTCACATGAAAGTGCGCAAGCAGAATGAGAGGGTCTTGATCTCTGTCACTCGCACATAACCACACTATGTCCGCATAGCTGAGTCTTCGTGCTGAGATTGTCCCACGTGCAGTCTTCCGAATACGCCGATCCATAGCCCCCTGTATGGAACCGAACCACATGTGGTACGTACAGGAATCACAGTACTTCTATCTGAGAAGTGGTCGTATATGGTCAACATACCTCATGGTCCGCAGCGCCATATAAGAGCCAGGAAGGATTTGGTGGGCGGGCAGGCCATCTGCACCGTGCTACTAAGAATGCAGTCAGCTAATGACAATAGTCCTAGTTCCCTGAGGTACGTACAACCACTCCTAGCTCTTAAATAATGTGCAAATGCGCTTCTGCAGCTTCTCGGGACCTGAGGCGAATCGCTATCTGGCGCTTGCCTCTTTCAGTACGTCGTTTTCAACAACTTAAGTGCCGCCAACGCAGACGCTCACAGTGTTCTTGATAGCAATCCTGTACTATGACTATTTCCTGACGTTATCCATGGAGATCGACAACTTCTGGAAGGCACAGCACAAGGTTTCTTGGACCTCAGTCCTCTTTATACTGAACCGGTATCTCGCTGTGGCCGGTCAAATCCCTATCGCGTTCGAGTACTTTGCGGATATATCTCCTCAAGTATGTTGCATACCATGCCTATATTGATCTCTGAATAACCCCCTGTATAGCAGTGAGCTCCAGCCTTGTGTTGTATGTGCAAGAAGCGGTAATTGACTAATGCCGTCGCCCAAGCTGCCACCTACAGCTCTTTCATCAAGCATTCTCTGCTGCGACACAAGCCGTTGTATCAGGTATGTGCTGTGCGCCATTACTCTGTTCAGTACCACCAGTGCTCATTGTCGGGCAAGCCCTGCTCGTGATCCGTACATATGCATTGTATGAGAGAAGCAAGCGCGTATTGGCCATCTTGCTACTAGCATATTCCATGGGAGCAATAGCCGGCATTGTGAGTATTGCAATTCATCTTACTACTAAGCAGTCCACTGAAATAAGCTGTCAGTGGTCGGTCACTGCGAGTAATACAACAGGAGGTGCTCCTACAAATTACGTCATGACATCAACGTGCAATTCGCTGTTGACAGTCCGTCAGTACGTTTATTCATATATTATTCCGTCGCACCGGGGACATGTGCTCATGTTAATCTCAGGGCCGATTGTAAGTGCACCTGACTCATGACCAGATCTAATGGTGACATCTGCATGACTGCAGATCTGATCGCTCCCTGGAGCACGATGCTATTGTTTGATACGACGATCTTCCTTCTTACTCTAAGCAAGACGGTCAAACTGGTGCGTCTATCACCACGGACCGGGACACTACTGCAGGTTTTCTTGCGAGACGGTCAGTGTGATCGTTGTTGCCGCAATATCACCTCACAATGTCAACCATTCGCTTAGGAATCGTCTACTTCGGTACCCTCGTTATTGTAAACGTCGTCAACATTGTGACCTTTCTGGTAGGTGCTTTCATCCCACAGAGGACTCGAATATGATCGCTGATTGCTCGTCCGCTAGATTGGTAATGTACGTAAAGCACTGTGGGCACTAGGCATGAAGACAGTATCTTATACTCATTGTCAGGACTACACGCGGGGTATGGGGTCAACGTTGACAAATGTGTGAGTGTGGTTGGAACGCATGATGGTGATGCAGTACCGACATCTATGAACAGGATGGCCAGTGCTTTGATCTCGCGACTCATGCTCAACTTGCGTGACCCGAGCCTCAAGGGCCTGCCACAGCACTCAACACACTCACAAGCGGATCCTCTGGGGACTAACAAGCCACACAGCACTCTGATGTTTGGGAGGCAGACAAAAACTAAAGGTAGTGAAGTGCCATCTACGATGGGTAGCACTGGGCAACACACATCGAGTGGCATTGAAGAGTCATCCCGCGACTCTAGTTGATAGTAGTCGCAGCTCACATCAGTATATACGCGCACTATACAGGAAATTGGCTTTCTCAATAACATTCCACAACTTGTCAGTTCACACAGGCTATCAACGTGAATGGCACATCTCGCCGAACGCAAGCAGGCCGGCAAGCGTGGTTTTATTCTCCACTGACCTAAAGGTTAGACGCATAACGTACGTCGAGAGGCGCACCGCCTCGTTGAGCGCAAACTGGCGACCAATGTATCCGTGAGGGCCGATATGCGGAACGTGAGGTCAGCCTCCGGTTGTACTCCGTACCAGCGCGTGGGGTCAAATTGCTGTGGACTGGAGAAGTGGTGCGGGTTGTGATCTGAATCAGGGCTATCCCATTGAGATACAAGCAACCCATATAACACAGAGTAAGCACTTGCGAACTCACGGATACTGTTCATGTCCATTGCAACGAGCGTGTTGATCAGACCTTTGACATCAGGCAGGTGTAGAGTGATAGCCGCCGCAGTGTCTCGAGTGACGTAGTGGCTGGAGCTATGAGCAGTGTAATTAGCCACTCCGCGCGCCATACTCTAGTAGACAGAAAGGCGATATCAAGTTTACATTTACTTTTCGGGAGGATTGCGCTTGGAGTATTAATAGATGGCCCCAAAATATAGCAGACACTAGGGACGTCTTTGACATCCTAGACGGATCGCATGACAATGAATATCATAAGCTTGAATTGTAAATATGCCTGGATGGCCTGGCCCCAAGGTTCTCACGACACGTATAGCGAGTCTGTGTGGCAGATAACAAGGAGGGATAGCAGTACCCCGAGTGTTGACATTGTAGCTATGTAATTGTCTACCAAGTAAGATTTCGGAAAGCCAATATATCTTTTAGTAGTCTGTATTCGAGGACAATCCAACTCGTTGCATAGGCTCAGTCGCAGCCTCGGTGATGGGTCATACGCTCGCGAAATTTAAGTTGACAATGCACAAGCGCCGACTGTCACCGGAAACTGCCGGCTGGTAACGTTGCGAGTTACATAGGATGGGAATTTGGGAATGCGAGCCTTGTGGTCGGTAGGCAGTCTGCGAAGGCACTGTACGCACGAACACAACGGGGACGCTGTCGTTGACTCGGAGGTCACGTATGAGCATAGTCCTAACTTCCTCCTTCCTGGTGCTCAAACATTGTGTTTCCGCATCATTTCGCAGCGATGGCGTCTTCCCCATCTACACCGCGGCTGAGCTCGCTCGTACTGGTCAGTTCACAATGGTCAATGATTCTACCTCCCACTAGAAGCCGTAGCGTCCCACAACCATAGTTAAGTCGTCAGTGATAACTGAGATGCAACGGATGCATCGTGAGCATCGATCGGTTATTATGAATCAACAGGGCAGTAGCAGTCGCGCACTTACACATTCAGTTGTCCGAGTCGTGCACTGATCATGAGGCATTGTCGGCGTGAGTGCGATACTCTGTATCGAGAGTGTGTATATCAGCATACTTGTGCTTTGAGCTTGAAGGTCAAGACGGAATACACAGACATGACGCGGATACTAGCCGCAGGGGCAAGCCAAGGACCATTGCAGGTCATCTACGACTTTGTACCACCTCAGTCATTCGCACTTTCACTTTCGGGAGGAATGTTTCCCACAGCTGCCTTAATCATTGCCCTCGCTTGTTTACTGCCAGACGTCTGAGCTGACGAGGAGGGTCGATGCTCAGTCAGACATGGTGCGTGACTTAGACAGTAGATTCTGATTGGGGTCTAGCTCACCTTCGTGCTTGGACATTCATCTCGCTTCGCACAACGCTTTGGCCGTAGGATACACAACAAGAAGGTCCAATGCAGAGTCACGGCGACTCGCGGCCAATCAAGCTTTCATGTTTGCATGGTGTTATTGTCCTCGCCTACAAAATACAACATGTCAAGTGCGTTATTTGACCACCGGGCTTGCAGAGCAGTAACGAGATATCATCACCTAGCTCATGCCCCAACGCAAAATACTCAAAAGCATATGGTGGACTAAGCTGATAATTTGTCTCTGCAATCAAGGCAACCCGACCCGATATCTCTAGTGGCCAGGGACAAATAAGATCGAATCCTAAGCCACACTCCGATAGAGTTCAAAGAGGTACGCGTTTCCGCAAGGCATCGTACTGTTTTGTGCTTGACAAGGACAAGTGCATTGTAGCTGTCGTCATTAGTCTTCTGCTCGGCCGTTTTGACACACACCACAGCCTGAGAATGTAGGCCGAGTGCAGATGTCACGTTACTTGCACCTCAAGGATTGAATCGATGCTTCAATGGGAAAGGTCTAGAAGCACGTCAATAGAGGCACGTTCGTCCTTCTCAAACCGCTGTGAATATGCATTCAATCCAGAGCTAGTGAGCGATAGGTAGAAGCCATTGCCGTCGCAGCTAACCAATACAGGTTTTGTTGCTTCCCAATTTATCTAACGGCGTAGACATAGGACTATTACGCAGGTGTCTTGCATCAAAGCACACGATTGACAGGATTGTTTTCCGTGACTTATAGTCATGCGACTGAAGGTCTGTAGTGAGGAAGATATACGATATATTGTGCTCATTGATTCGATAGTCATAGAGATTGCTTTCTAGGTCGTTGCTATCTCGCACAAGTGTTCGGGAGTACAGGAATATGGCTCCACATAGACAGCTGCAATTGCGTGTGAGTCGTATCATCCTCGGTAATACTGGTGCCGATTGTAATAATACAGATCTGAGTCCCACTTGCGACCGGTTCACCGATGTGACCATCGTAATCTGCTCCCGACGATCGATGGCTCTTCCACTGAACCCTCTTGCAACTTCAGGACTCTATAGACTTCTGTTCATGATGCAAAGTGCCGGGCCTTCCGGTGTCAATCTTTACTTCAGTGTCGCGAGAGATTGCATGGAAGCCGCCTATAACCGAACACTTCGCAGGCGCCCAACACGTGTTGTGCCTTCGACTCGGACAGATAGCGCTGCTCGATTGCATTTAAGTAAGCGGCTATTCTCGCGGCAAACGCGACCGTCTAGTTGACACCCACCTCATCTTGAAAATGCAGGGATTTCAGGATTTGGTTGTGTACCTTAGTATCCTCTTCGGTGCTATTTTATGTTGCGGTGGCTATCTGAGATTGTATCACGGCAAACAACATCTTCCGCTTCCTCCAGGGCCAAGAGGTCTCCCGGTGCTCGGTAATGTACACCAGATTCCAACGCAGTATCAGCAAAATACATTCCTGAGCTGGGCCAAGCGCCACGGTACGTCTCTCACGACGAACTTCAATATTGCTTAGCTGTGATGATGTGCTTACTGCAGTGGTAGGCGAGATTGTTTACCTTCGCTTCTTCCAAAAGCCAGCTATCATCATTTCCTCTCTTAAAGCGGCACAAGATCTGATGGAAAAGCGAGGTTCAAAGTATTCGAGCAGACCCTACTCGGTGTTCATGCTAGAATTGTAAGCGCATACCACAGATCGATGCAAACTGATACATATGTGTCCCCTAGTGTCCTTCCAAGACCAAACCTGGTGTTAATGCCGTATACCGATCAATGTCGCCTCCATCGCAAGCTCTTTCAGGCAACCTTTGAGAGCAGGACGATGCTGGATAGTTATCGCCCGCTTCAGAGGCGATATGTCGACATACTGCTGGCTGACCTCGTCCGTGATCCAGAGGGATTCATCGCGCATCTAAAGAGGTGCGCTGTCTTGCGTATTGAGTTGCCGATCTCCACACAATTTACTTTGAATATACAATTAGATATGCCGGTGCCCTCACAATCGAACTCGCGTATGGACATCACGCTGACATAGTCAACGAAGAGTTCATGGCATTTGCCGATAAGGCAATGGCTTCAGTCACAGAGGCTGGAGGCGTCGCATCCACGCTTGTCGACTTCTTCCCATTCAGTACGTGGCATTCTTCTCTTCGCAAATAAACCTGCAGGTCACTCTCATGGTTGGCTAGTGAAATATATTCCAGAGTGGATACCTGGAGGAGGCTTCAAGCGACACGCATTCATGACCCAAAACATGATCCGCGAAGTGATGTCTACACCGTACTCAATAGTACGGGAATCCATGGTGAGCAGCCTATCAGTTGACTATGACATGACGTTTTGTGTTCATGTCTGCCAGAAAAATGGCAATGCACAACAGTGTTTCACTACCTTTCTCTTGGGAGAGCTGTCGGAAGATGGCCGCCTCGATGACGATACTGCATGGGACATCAAAGGCGCTGCCACAGTGCTATATCTAGGTATGGGAACTCAAATCACGAACGATGGATCGTCATCAGCTGACATGATTACGATAGCTGGGAGTGACACCGTGAGCATTAACTCTACACCTGTCATACGTGATGCTTATCTTCATTCACAGACCATGACGACACTGATTTCCTTCATCTTGACCATGGTGCTTCATCGTCACATTTTCAAAAAAGCCCAAGCTGAATTGGACAGCGTGATCGGCAGCGAGCGATTGCCCAACCTAGACGACAGGGATTCGCTGCCGTATTTGGAGTGCGTTCTGAAGGAAGTGTATCGGTCAGCACCGTGATTACATAGACTAGCATATTTTGACATTGACATATTCGTTCAGCTGGAATCCTCCGGCCCCACTTGGTAGGACCTGACGTAACGTGACACGCCTCGAGATATGTCTAATATGATATTTGAAGGGATTCCTCATTTTGCAACCGAGGAGGACACATATCGTGTCTACGCCATTCCCGCTGGTGCAATCGTCATACCAAATATTTGGTCAGTAGCCTGTTATCGAGAGCATTCGCTTCTTCTCCATGGTGTGCTCAAATATAACTAGGGCAATGAGTCGCGACGTCGAACAGTACTCAGATCCTGATACTTTCCTTCCAGAGAGATTTGAGGCAATGAGTCCTCAGGAGACAAACAAGAAGGATCCTCGCAAATACGTCTTTGGTTTCGGTCGACGGTATAAACAGTTACAAATTGACTGTGGCTGGCTCTGACCGGTACTGCACGCAGGATTTGTCCCGGGCGATTCCTTGCCGACTCGAGCGTTTGGCTCGCGATCGCAAACATTGTCGCTACGATGGACATCCAAAAAGCTCGGGACATATCTGGAAAGGAAATCACGCCGATCCCGTCTTTCAAAACAGGTATCGTCAGGTTCGTTCCCATCTACCATTACTGTGGGACATACTGCCGCTCACATCTAGACTAGCCACGTTAATCCCTTTATATGCGACATCAAACCACGCACGACAAAAACCACTGATATTGCTACAAAGCTCAAAAACGTTACCAGTGGATGAAATCAAGGATACATCGTATGCATCCTTTCCTCCGACTTGTGTGCAAACAATGTCGTGTATTTCGGTACCACGGCCGATCCTTCTCTTCATATATCTCATCGTAAGTACTAGTGCTAGCATAAAAAGCCTGTAGCACTAGTTGTCACATTGTGTACCTCAGCGCCGAGCGCTTGAACGTCATGCCGTGACACAGCACTACGCATCTTTCCTCTTCATCGGGCCTCACGGTCACTGCTTTCTATCTCTCTGATCCCCATGCTCACAAAAGTATTTTTGGCTAGTCTTGTGGACAGCGTGTGAGAACGATTACCTACAGCGTTGTCGGCTCTTAATTTCTGATTGAATAGAACAGGTAATCGACATTCATCGAAGTTTGGCTGTCAGTCAATGAAACATCTACTCCTCGATTGGCTCCAGGGGCCCCTCAACCCTAGTCCTTCTATATCACGCGATTGACACTGAACTTGTGATAAGCTCCCATGTGTTAATTTGTGTCCTCTTAGGTATCAAAGGCCTGTCTGCAAGCAAAGGTGCCTGGTGGTAAAGTTTATATAAAGTGTAGTTGTCATCATTCTCGTCGTCTGTCTCCCCGCGAAAGTTGTCTCAGGTACTGTCGAGAACATGTATCTAAATCAACTGGACGTCCTAGCTATGTTACTTGCAGCTGTGGTGTGCCTCATATGTGTTCTTCAACATCGCTACTCGAAGCGCAGGTTACTCCCACCGGGCCCACGTGGACTTCCCCTGGTTGGTAACATACTTCAGATTCCTCTTGAGAACCAATTCAAGACTTTCACGGAATGGGGAAAGACATACGGTGAGTATCGTATTTACTGGTCATAACAAGATAAGCGCAGTTAATGTCTTTCAGGCGATTTGGTGTATGCTTCGCTGTTCCAGCAGCCACTTATAATAGTAAACTCTGTACGAGCTGCACAACACCTCATGGAGAAGAGAGGTGCTATATACTCTGATCGCCCGAGGTTTGTGCTACTGGATGATATGTGCGTGTTTCATGACTAGACGTACTAGCTGTCCATCACTGATTTCCGGGGTGAAAGATTCGGGTTGAGACCAGTTACATCATTGCTCCCATTTGGGGATGCTTGGCGGCAGCAAAGACGGTGGCTTCAGGATGTATTGCAGACACACAATACAATCCATGGCTATCGCTCGTTACAAAGGAGTGGAGTAACCAAACTAGTCGCTCGCTTGACGACCTCGCCGGAATTATTCTTTACCCATATTGGAGGGTGACTCATCTCTACCACAAATATGTGTAATCACAGATACAAACTTACGTTCTCCTCTGACCAGATATGCCACCGACTTCAGCTTGAAAGTGGCATATGGGTTGGATGAGCTGTTTGCAGAAGCATTCATCGGTCTAGCAAAAGAATGTATGGAGGCTATCTTCCAATCTGGGAGTCTTGTTGCGACACTCGTTGACTTCCTTCCATTCTGTGCGTAATGGTACTTCCACTTTTACCACTAGTGTCTTGCGGGCTCACTATACAGCAGTACGATACATGCCCAGCTGGATGCCCGGCAGTGGATTCAATCGTCATGCCTCAAATATAAGACTCAAGGCTCGTCAACTGATGAATCTACCGTTCAACACTGTCCGTGGAAACATGGTACGATCTACTTCTATCAAGTATACTCTGGCTAAGGAGCCATCACAGAATTCAGGAACGTACGAGCGGTCTTTCACATCCACTGTGATTGAAGACAGATTCAAGGGCCAGATGACTGCGCAAGAAGAGGACAATGTCAAAGGAGCTGCCTGGACTATTTGGATTGGTGAGCTCCTTAAGACTCGATGTAAAATCCTTGCCTTATGTGAATATCAATAGCTGGTGCGGAGACGGTCAGTCCTAGAACATAGTGCATAACAACTTGAGTTAATTCCGTAGTATTCCAGAGTTCGCTCGTGCTTTTGACCTTCATCTTAGCGATGGTTTTACATCCTGAGGTGCTCGTGAAAGCTCAGAAGGAGATTGATTCCATTACTGGTGGCGAGCGGCTGCCAGAGCTTGAGGACAGGGAAAACATGCCGTATCTACAACACGTTATCATGGAGGTGTACAGGTACGCAAACAGTTTATATGGTGATCAGTCCGTTAAAGAAGTGCAGATGGAATCCGCCATTTCCTTTGGGCAAGTCGCTGATTTGTTGCTTAAGGAGTTTCTGATCGAATGCTCTATCTGAAGGCATATCCCATCGTCTCATGCAAGATGACATTTACGAAGATTATTTCATTCCTGAGGGGTCGACGGTTATACCAAATACCTGGTCAGTCATCCTTCTCTTCAAAATCCATCGCTCTATCGTGATATGCGAAACATAGGGCCATGTCGCGCGATCCGTCGGTATATTATGATCCAGATGTGTTCCGTCCCGAGCGCTATGAGGAAATGGATGCCGATGCAGTCAAGGCCGCAGACCCAAGGAGATATGTTTTCGGCTTTGGTCGCCGGTATGTGTCGTTCCTACACCCTGGAGCAACTCTCATGATAAAGACTAGCATTTGTTCTGGAAAGACTCTCGCAGATGCCAATTTTTGGCTCGGAGCAGCAAGTATCTTAGCCACTATGGACATAGGGAAGGCTATGGATGCTAATGGGAATGAGATCGAGCCCGCCGTATCATTCATATCTGCGTTCACGAGGTAATAGATCTCCTTCCTCTTTCGGAAAGTCAGGTTTGGCTAAATTGCTGGCAGTTTTCCCCGACCTTTTGTCTGCAGTATCCGTCCACGCTCCATGCTTGCCGCAAGAATTGTCGCTGAGCTGGACGCGTCCGAGCTGCATGCCTAGCCGGTTTGACGACAGAGGTTACGCCGTTTTCTAGGTACTCCGACGTCCTCTGGCGTACAGAGTATGTACAGCAGTTGTACACGTATCTAGTCACGGGTATCGAGAGGGTGCTTCTGATCAATGGTTCTGGTCCCGACGATATACACTTAACCATTTTCGGCTCTTACGTAGGCTGCGACTTCGATTGTTGTTGTTTTTTTCGCTTTACTCGCGATGTCTACCATTTTCATTTCAATTTGTGTCAAACATCACGGCCTTCAAATAGTAGTCGCGATGTATCGAGCAGTTGCGTCAGACAGTCAGATCGGTTTGTCTTCTCTCTGACAACTCCATACATAACTATCGTGCTTCACCCGTCCCTCCCGCCACGTTTTCTTGCGTTCGCCTGACACTTTGGAAGTGTTGAGACTGCCAAGTAGGGTCACGTCGATCAAGATAGAAGGCCGCGAATACGGTTGACGCCCGCGGCAGAAATTGACTAGCGCCCACTTCTCGATCTATCATGTCGCAGGTTCACTGCCACTACACACGTAAGCTCTAGTGACTAGTTCTTCGATGCTGAAGTCTAGATTCAACCGGGTGCAATGTCATGATTTACCAATTGTTACGCTTCACGAGAGGCGGCACGCATGGGAGGCGAAAAGGATGAGAGAGAGCGAGTAACTAAGGAGGTATATTCCAAAGTTCAGTTGGAGTAGGAAACAGCAACTGAAATGACTATACCTAATGAGGTAGGACTTCTCAACAGGCACAGTATAAGCACGCTACGTAAAACAAGTAGGCACGACTCACTGACTTCATATGGAGTAGGAAACGACAGCTGAAGTCCGTGCTACAGGACGTCGCGTATATGACTATAACGAGCAGCTATGCAAAGTGAGTCATTACTATCTTCGGCAAGCAGTTTCATGAAACAAGGAAAGGAACGCGTTAGTCTCCTGAGACCAGAGTAGACGACGAATGGGGATGGTAAGCATATGTGCACCACAGACGCGTCTACGTTGCGTCCCACCCAACGCGAGAACGCTCTGTCATGCGCGCATGCGCATGCCGGGTGTTCAGACGCGCTCGGCCGTAAGCACACTGAACTGATGTAACCACGCTTGCAGTCCTGTGCACACTATTCGGCGGTTGAAGCTTGAGGTTCGTGATCGAGCTTCAAATCAAGGTATGCTATTGACATGAGTGCTATGTGTATTACAATGGTGACGTATCTCGGCTCCACTTGGTCGGGTCATCAGAATGCCTGATTTGTATTGATTCTCACCACATTTTGCTCATCCATAGTGCGGGATCATCCTGGCCTATGTAGCTTACATGGCACCTGAGCGATACAATGCTCTCACTGTCACGATTGGGATGTGCAGATATGCACGCAAATTCGGCTAACCCGGGCATGCTGGGTTATGGCGCTTGCAAGACATCGGGGGAACGCCATATTTTCCTCTATATATGAATGGGATGTCGTGTTTGTAAACCGCCCCGTTCATAATCCTTACTGCGGCTTGTGCTAGGTTTAAATTCGAGGATGCTACTTCCACTCAACAGCTATGTGCTGTTGTGCGTCAGTACTCTTCTTGTCGTCGCAGGCCACTACGCCTGCGCCCGTTGGCTCTTCCCCACGCGTCGATTTCCTCTACCTCCTGGTCCACCACGCGCTCCTTTCCTGGGGAACGTACACCAGGTTCATTTAACTTATCAACATAAGAAAATTGCGGAATGGTCCCGGAAATACGGTTAGTTCTTCAATACACCTGACAGACCGCTCACACCAATGCGTCAAACGACATGTAGGGGATCTACTTTGCGTAAAAATCTTCCACAAGCCGATGTTTATCATCAGCTCCATCAAAGGGGCTCGCGACTTGCTGCAGACACGCTCGACGAAATACTCAGACAGGCCACATTCCGTCGTATTGAACGACCTGTAAGTCCCCCGTATCGGACACAATGGCAATTGTGACGCAATATGGACGAATTGCGTGTTTCTCAGGCCGATTTTGGCGTTCATACCCTACGATGAACAGTGCAAGCGTCTGCGTAAATGGGACCAAGGCGCATTGGAGACGAAGGCCGCTCTGAAACAATATCATCACATACAACGGAAGGAGGTTGGGATACTTCTATCGGATCTTGTACACACTCCCAAGGAGTTCTTCTCTCACATCAGGAGGTGGGACCAAGCTCCTCATTTCCATGCTCGGACACATTAACTCCCGTAAAGTCAGATATAATGGTGCACTCATGCTAGAAACTGCTTACGGACATCCAGTCTCGTCGGCGGAGGACGAGTACATGGTATTCGCCGACAGCGCCACCGCTGCAGTCGCCGAAATAGGTAGTATTGCTTCTACGTTGGCTGATTTTGTTCCCATCTGTAAGTCGAGTGTACGATAGGAACTTGTCCTGGAACGCTGAATTGCCTTGCAAATAGTGAAGTACATCCCGACATGGATGCCTGGCGCAGGCTTCAAACGTCAAGCCCTGCGAGCTAGGGATATGTGGGCTGAGATGACACGCATACCGTATCAGAGGATTTGTGATGACATGGTAAGGAAAGCCCATCTCGTTGTTGCCGGGTTGTTGAATGCACGATTAGCCGCTTCCTAGGCTCTCGGGAAAGCAAGACCCTCGTTTACCACTTTCATGATTCAACAAGTGTCGCGAGATAGAAATCTCACGGACGACAATAATCACGACATCAGCAATGCTGCATCCGTGATGTACGGAGGTAGGTACTCGCCCCTGCCTCCCATATGCTGAATGCTTACATAGCTCAAGCCGGAGTTGATACGGTAGGTCGACTATGCATACAACTGCGAGAGAGATTAACAACCGACCTTCGTCGAAGACCTTGCATACGCTGCTTACTCTGCTTCTGGCATTGACGATCTATCCGCAAGTTGTAGACAAGGCGCAAGCGGAAATCGATAGAGTTATCGGTACATCTCGTCTTCCTGAACTTGCCGACAGGGAGTCTCTGCCATACTTGGGTTGTATTGTGCAGGAGGTGCTTCGGTGCGTCCACCCTTCTTCAGTTCATTTTGCATGATCGTCATACATCAATCACAGATGGAACCCTGCTACGCCGCTCGGTAGGATTATTAGTTTTGAAATGATTCTTCATTTCAAGGGCTGACATGAGCTTAGGAATACCACACCGTCTTCAAGAGAATGACAGCTACAACGGATATGGTCTCCCGGAAGGCTCCATGTTTATCACAAACACGTGGTATGTTCTAAATCTTTTTGATATTCATACGGCTCACTATTGAATATTCGAACTCATTTTAGGGCAATGAGTAGAGACCCGGGGCTGTACCCAGATCCTGAAGTGTTTCGTCCAGAGCGCTTCGAGGAGATGGATGCGGAGACGGCCAGTGCGAGGGATCCACGGAAGTATACTTTCGGGTTTGGTCGCCGGTACGATGGATGTCCAGATTGTCTTTCAGAGCCTGATGTATTCTCTACTACAGTATCTGTCCTGGTCGCTACCTCGCTGACACCAGCATCTGGCTTGTGGCGGCTAATATCCTCGCCACCATGAATATCCGCAGGGCGTGCGACTCAGCAGGTCGCGAGATCATACCCACGCCATCGTTCAAGAGCGGTGCCGTCAGGTAAGATGCCGCGCAGATGATGTAGAGACGACGATGACAGCGTTGGACAGTCATGTTGAACCATTCGAATGTGACATCCGACCGCGTTCTCAGCAGGCTATGGATCTCATTACCGAGCGCAACTCCGAGCACTGAGAGTCGTTGATGCTCCATAATGTGGAGGCTGGCACACCTTCCTTACTACGTACCTAAACTACTTGAATACATCGGGACTGCCAGACATGCTCGTAAGGACATCAGTATCTTTGGGAGGAGAGCAACTCACCAAGCATGTTTGCCGTGGCCCAACGCTATGAAGTCTTTGGAAGTGTTCACGTACTGTTTTCGGAGCGCATCGCTTTGAGTGCGCATGATGTAAAACCTGAACGGCTCGAACACCCCGGGGTTCTCGTAATACTTCTCGTCGGTGTGAGTGGAGAAGGATGCAGCAACTACGAGAGTTCCATGAGGCAGATACGTGCCATCAGACAAGGTGATATTTTGCAGGACCTTGCGCATCAGGGAGACTGTCAGGAGCCAAGGTCAGTGATGGGGTCGCCATGGCCACGAACAGGCTGTGCACTTGAGTGCGTACCAGATGTGCCATTTAGTCGGTGCGGCTCTCTCATGAAACTGTCCAGCTTCCACATTTTCCCGAAAGCCTCCGTTGTCCAACCATATTCCTTCACGAAACCTTCGACCTCTTCACGAAGCGGCTGCATATATTGGGAGTAGGCAGCGAGGTCAAGGAGCGAATGTGTGATGCTCTAGATTGTCTCTCGTAAGGGATGTGTCTCATCGGTAACGAGGGCTTTCAGTGTACTTACGCCGCTCGACGTGTGGATAGCGGCGAAGTTTTAGACCAGGATGGCCTCAAGCACAAGATTGGGGTTCGATTTACTCTTCTGTGCCTCCTCGATAAGCCATGTGAGATAGTCATACTATAAATGACACACAAATGCACGAATCCGAACGCCTGGTACACATGACAAGAATGCAAAGCTGAACAGACCGACTTGTCAAACTGATCGTTGTCGGCGCCTTGCAACTTGGCGAGGCGCTCTTGAATCAGTGGCTGTGCATGCACGGCAGCATGCCGAACTACACGCTTGGACCAGGGCAGAAGGTTTCCTACAATGTTGTGGAAGTACTATCATGAGCTTCACGACGAAGTAGCGATGATCTCTATCCTAGCAACAAAATGCGAGTACTTACGGTTTGAACACGCCCGGCACAAGACTCAGAATGGTACTGCTCTTGGCGACTGAGAATGCGAATTCAACTATGGTCTTCAGGTAGTCCCCGTTCCGACCTATTATACATTGTAATGGCGGAAAAATAGCAAGGGTAGAGTACTTACACAAAGGTAGACCCACAAAGACACGGTTGCTTGCGCGGCAACCAATGCGCCCCATCGTATCGCGCACAAACACGACAACTCAGGCCAACCTATGCACGAAGATATCTGCATCAGAAAGTTCAGTTGTGAATATCCGCGATGCTACATACCACCCGGTAAAGGAGGCGATGGCATGATCTCAGGGAAGGCGGTCCTGATTTCGTCTACAACATCGAGGAATATTAGGCTCAGCCTGCATGTGAGCGGTCCACTAATCACAAATGCCTCGATTGGATGATCGCCAATTTCGGGCGCGACGGTATATTTCATTTGAATAAACTGCGATGTGAGGCATGTGAGCGTTCGGTTCGGGACAAGCATAGGATAATCAACGTACGTCATCTGCGGCTGCTTGGAAGGAGGCGTGCGTATCAAGAACCTTGCACAGCTCCTCGTTCATGTCGGCGCCGCTCACAACAACTACCCATCGGTCCATGAGGGGGACTCGGAAGACCTTGTACTATGTGAAGGCACACGTGCCATAAGCGGAACTGGCTCCGAAACCAGAGCATACTTCGCTGGGATTCGTCAAACTTTATGGTAACCCTCCTGCAGGACTGCCTAAGCATTGCGATAGTACCTATACGCTCCCAAGTGAGACACGATAGGGACGCACGGGCCAATCGCAGGGATATGGCCCAGCTAAACCGCGACGAGGTTAGCAGATGATACAAACATGTATGCACCACCCTACGGGATCAGTTTTCCAAAGGACAACGTAGACGGTAGCTAATATCCCCAGTGGAGCATAGATGTACTGCTCTATATCCTCCATCTTCTGTGGAGGCCACGATAGCGTGTGAGTTACTGACTAGAAGTCCAAGCTAACTCGCCATAGTCACTGATGGGAGATGACCGTGACTGTACCCACGGTCTGCCAGCGTTTGGGGTAATAGGCAGTCTTCATGACATACGCGCGCGGTTAAAACTCCTCGGAGTTCCAGGGAGTTTCGCGGGCGTTGGTGTCTGCTGTGCATTCGTGATACCTCCGGGAGAATTTATAGTTACTAGAGGATATAATATGTACGGGGCAGAGCTCCCTCGGTGCACAGGGCATTGTGCGCAAGATGAATGAATGCATCATAGACACTTTGTGAGATCATGGTGTAGGTGAGCGTGGCCCGCAGGACGAATATAGTGGCAGATGTCGGAGAAAGGCGGGCTCTTACTGGTGCCAATCAAGAGGCCCCGGCAGAATTAAGCATTGAATCCACAAGATTCTCTTCAGGTCGAGCTGGAGCCGGCTGCCCAGAGAGCGAGATCGAGACTCGTGCAATTATCAGCGATGTATCCGACAGAAGAAATGACAGACGAACAGACACGACTTCATGTGCTTATATTGAGTTACTTAGAGTTAGAAAACAATGCTAGCTGTGTGGACTCGCGAACCGGTACTATGAGTGCGTGTTGCGACTCAAGCCGAATAATCTGCAAGTATACATACGTAAATACATGACCATGTTGCCAGGTATGAGAAAAGAAACCAGCTCGGACTCGTGTCGAGGTTTACGAAAGACTAAAAAAAAGCAATTCCGACACGGGGAATCGAACCCCGGGCTATCGCGTGAGAGGCGATAATGTTAGCCACTACACCATATCGGAGATATATGTTATTTGGCTATTTTTTAATATTACATTAGCGCAGTCTATGGTGCCCTTGCGTCCAATTGTTACGGATACCAGATAAGGATATCCGGAGCCCGCGCAGGTTGAAGGAATTGTCTACTCTGCTCACAGGAGACTAACGGATACACCAGTAGTCAACATGCATTGTCCGAACCCCCTCACCGCCTATGCACCGTGCTCATTACATGGTTACGATCTGCACTTGTCTACTTCGGTCGCCACACAATATTGGCAGTGTTATCCCCACATGCCGGTCCCGCAAGCCTACTCCCTCCGTCTGGAAGCGAGTGGACATCATTAAGCGCTGTTGCATAACTTGGTACACAATGACGGCAGCGATGGTGCCCCAGGATGTCTTGCAAAGGTATTCAGTGTTCCATACTTTCGCGAAGGCTCAGGGTGGATACCGCTCATGTTTCACACCATCGTACATAGCCTAGCTGCATATAGCCGCTAGTTGGGAGAAATCGGCTCCTAAAAAAGATTCCTGTCGGGTGCAGTAAGGTATGCACGTTTCCGCAGAGCCCTGTGTCATACTCTATAGAGCTAAATGCATCGTAGCTATTGAGTTTGAATGATTCAGAATCTGGGCACCCGGGAGCAGACCGGTGGAGATTTTACGGCATTCGAAGCACAAGAAGTCGAGCGACCCTTCGGTGTTCGACAAAGTCAGGTTGCACATCGATATCTGTAGGAGATAAGACAGAACCCATCCAGTCAGCCAATATGCTTGTATCGACGATTTTGCCCTTATCCATCTGCGCAGGCTACTGTTCCTCCCATTGCATACATGACGTACAACGACGGGATAGAAGGCTGTGTGACCCAACGTCTATGGTGTTACTTGTGAACAGTGCCTATTACATACAGGAGTGTCAATAACCGCGGTTAAAAATGCTCTTCCTTATCCGAGTTGTAATTGCGTGAGTCCCGGTAATATCATCTTCGGTAGTGCTGATGCTGATAGCGGTTGCATTTATAACTCGTGTCCTGCTGATGCAGCCCCCAAATCCCCAGGCATGGGAAGTCGGTTCAGCAGACGCTAGAGCGTGCCGTCACGTAACCCGAATAGGCCTTTTATACAGAGAGCTGAGTCTCCCGGAGGAGCGCAATATGCCCAAATGACGATATGACATGATCGAGACTTTGGCTGCTGCTACCCAATGTCGGAGGTGAGCTAGGTGTTAACACCCCATGTATCCACATTAGAACCGAGCCATGCTGTTATCAGTCTTATATTCTTCTGCGCTGCTCGTGCATTCCGTGTGTGCCGTTGGTGTGCCGTTGGTGTGCCGTTGGTGTGCCGTTGGTGTGCCGTTGGTGTGCCGTTGGTGTGCCGTGGGGTTATTGTACTCTGTCCGGAGATGTTGTATACTCTTCCATGCCTTCGAATCTCCACCCGCCCCTGTGATACCTTCTCACCTGAATGAAATGACGACTACAGGCACGTACTCTTCAGGGGCCGAAATCACATTCTAGCGGGAGGTATATAGACCGTGCGTTTCCATGATCACAGAGACTTCATCTTCCAAAACGCGTCAGCTACCGTTGAGCAGATGCATCTCGGCACGGCAGACGTCTTAGCTATATTCTTGGCAGTTGTGGTATGCATTGTGGGTGCTCGATGGAACCGGTCGAAGCATAGACCTCTTCCACCAGGCCCGCGAGGGGTCCCGTTGCTTGGGAACATTCTTCAAATCCCCCTCGAGAACCAGTTCAAAACGTTTACGGATTGGGGGAATATATATGGTGGGTGTGGTGGAGGAAAGCGCGCTGAAGTCGGAAGAACGGCGTCGACGGGTTCGGGTCTTTTTCTTTCTTTTATTTCTTTCTTTTTTGTTTCCTTCGTTTGTTCATCACGGTATCGTTCACCTCCATTATTTCTCTTGACAGTCAACATGAAAGTACGTACATCTTCCAGTTTCGGCGACTCCAAGACTTGCAATGACGGCGTCGATGGGGAAAGAAAGCGGCTGTCGTAGGCTGATCGGGGGTGCCGGCGTCGTCACGCACCTGAGGGCGGCAGGTCGTGAGAGTAAATATGACGCGTCAGGTCTCACACCTTTGAGAGGCTGAGACATGGGCAGTCGTGGACTTGATCCGGAGGCGTCGAGTCTCGCTTGTCTGTGCCCAGGGCTGGGCTTCCTTCCTTATTTAGAATGTCTTCGTCCGTTTTGAGACTCGGTTTCGATCACTCGTTGTTACATACGTCATTCACTCCTCGCAGACATGGTATGATGTCACTCCTGTCAGACCTTACCTGTACTCTTATAAGCCGGCGGCGGCATCGAGAAATGGAGCTTCCCTTTCTCGCACAAACCCCCACAGTCTCTTTTCATCACCCGAGTCAATCTGCGATTGAAGTCATTCAAGCATCAGGTAAGTGTCGAGTTTGGTACGTGTTAGAAACGAGAACATACGTGCGTGGTCATTCGGACCCGTTTCGATACTCGTTCGTTCGGGCGTTGCCATTCGGGTGCGCATATAGCCATATTGTTTGGGCTTTATTGTCGAAGTAAAGTGTCGTGGTCGTCTATCGTTGTCGTGCTTAGGTTTTGTTCGTTGATTCGCCGTGCATACGATCAGACGTAGCGGCCATCCCTTTGACTCTTATATTGACTCAACAGCTAGCCTATCAGACATTATATACCTTTCGACCATCTTCGAACCACGTCTGCAGACGACCCTCCCACAGTGGGTACCATTCCTATCGCTTCGGGAGTTAAATTTGACCCTCTCAAGGTGACGTGGTGTATGCTCAACCTTTTCAACAACCGCTTGTGATCATTGCGAGCTGCACAAGAGCTTATGGAGAAGAGAGGTGCTATATACTCTGATCGCCCGCGATTCGTACTCCTACAAGAAATGTGCGTATAATGTGACTTCACACAGTGACATGCATCATTCATTGATTCACTGGGTGGAAGATACGGATTGAAGCCGATGACATCACTGATCCGATTCGGCGATGATTGGCGGCAACAGCGGCGGTGGATGCAGGATGCTTTATCAACCTACAACACCATCCGTAGCTATCGCCCACTGCAGATGAACGAGGTCAATAAGCTCATTGCTCGATTCGCAACTTCTCCGGATTCGTTCTTCACTCATGTCCAAAGGTGACGACCATCTCTTCCAAGTAGGCAACTGATACTTATCTTCGTCAAAAGCTATGGGAGCAATTTCACCTTGGAAATCGGATATGGGCTTGATGAGACGTTTGCGAAAGAGAAATTCAGTCATATAGCAGAGAAAGCTCTGGTGGCGGTATTCCAATCGGGGACTCTTGTTGCAACGCTGGTCGACTTCTTCCCCTTTCGTGCGTGACGACAGTCCACGTGCAAGCGGTGTGCATGCTAACGGCACAATAGTACAATATGTGCCTAGTTGGATGCCTGGCGGTAGATTCAAACGGCATGCCTCTGATACACGACAGATCATTCGCCAGATGATAGAGCTGCCATATAACACGCTCCGTGAGAATATGGTCAGTTCCACTTCCTTCCAGGGACACACTACCTTAAGAGCTGTTTAAGGATTCTGGAAAATACCGGCGGTCTTTCGCATCCACCTTCATAAACGAGAAATTCAATGGACAGATGACTCCGCAACAAGAAGAGAACTTAAAGGGCGCTGCATCAACTCTATGGATGGGTAAGCCTTGTCAAAAGATTTGTCCTTACTAGTTACTCGCCTAACGCGAACATTAATAGCTGGCGCGGAGACGGTCAGACCTACCATACGTCACATTGTGTATGATCTGACTGCCACGCATGTTAGACATCAGTAGTGCTTCTGACATTCATTTTAGCGATGGTCTTGTATCCTGACGTAGCAGCAAAAGTGCAGACGGAAATTGATTCTGTTACTGGAGGGGAGCGACTGCCAGAAATCGAGGACAGAAAACACTTGCCGTATCTCGAGTGCGTGCTTATGGAGGTATACAGGTGAGCAACCAAGCATTGTATCATGTGGATCAGCGGGTGAAACGGGATTGCAGATGGAACCCGCCTCTACCGCTTAGTGCGTCGCTCATTAATCGCTTGAGAGAATTAACTGTTAACCAATGCTTCACTTGAAGGTGTTTCTCATCGTCTTATGCAAGATGACATATACCGCTGATAGGCGCCAAGCCCCTCTGGGCCCTGATACACCTCTTTTCGGCAGTCGCATCCCGCCCGGCACTTCGACTCAGTCACCCAACACTTCGATTTCGCCTTCGACGCTGATACGACCTACGAAACCCTAACCCCTAACCTGGGTGCGACCTAAAGGGACTAGAGAGACGGATTATAGTCTTAGTGAGAGGGGAGTTAGCAGCAAGGTGTCCCGCGGTTCGAGGGAACACGAGAAACGCCCTTGGAAGAGGCTACGAACGATGGGGAAGGTACGAGGTGGCTTCGACACGTCGTCGAAGCTACTCGGAAGCTGGGGGTGGTTAGTGGAGACGATCGAAGCTCGGCAGAGCTCTTCGATGTATCGTAGAAGGAAGGGACACGACTCGAAGGGGGGGGGACTTAGCTAGGACGCGGCTCGTAGTTTCTTCGACAAACGTCGAAGTCGAAGGGTTCGTCGAGACGGTATCGATGAGTAAACGCAGTGGACGAGGTTTCGAGGTTACGCAGCGAGGGACGAAGTGACGCAGTTGAAAGCTTAGACGCGGGGCGAACTCGACTTATGAGCTCTGAACTCGAGGGGGGGAACGGATCCTGTATTTTTGGAGAGAAGTACGACAGATTTTATACTACACAGAACGCTACGACTATTCGAGAGTGGCATACGAGTACAAGGGGCTTTGCATTGTTCCTCAAGAACCTGCCTCACCGAGAGGCACATACCAAGTCCATCGGTAGAGTGACGTCATGCCGAACGCGGAGATGAAGAGCAACATATGGCCACTTCGGACCGGTAGCCGTCGTGAAGGCATGCCGCGAGGTTCGATACCTAATCGGGAAAGACCGGCTACTTCGGTGTGGCTTGGAGCGAAGCGCGCGTTTGGCCGAGCGGCGTCAAGTGGCCCTATTGTTCGCCGAATGCGGAAGATGTTCCGAGATCTACGCACGAGGCCTCGGGAAGACCGTGCCGAGCTTCGAGTAAGCGTCGTGCACCGTCGAAGGTGTCGAAGAGCGTCGAAGGCGAAATCGAACTGTTGTGTGACTGAGTCGAAGTGCCAGGCGGGATGCGACTGCCGAAAAGAGGTGTATCGGGGCCCAGAGGGGCTTGGCGCCTATCATCTCCTCCCTATTGAAATTTGGACCGCCCTCGGTCCT